GAAAACCGTATCGATTTGAATAGAGCTAATACACCTAATATAGTATGCAATATTATTATTGAGTGTTGATATTATACGCGACCTTATCAGTCGTGTTTCACAATAAATTCTATCATTGACTCGGTTATCGCAGCATCGGCTCTGATGTACAATGGCGAAAAAGGGGAAATAGAAACCCGAATGCTTTTTGCGCCTATGTGTATACAATACGTTACGCGGTTGTTGCCACTATAAAGAAGACAGACAAATTATATATTACAGAAGAAGAAAAGACTCCCAACAATGAAGCGACGATCTTCTTCGGCGATAACGAAATACGTTTACGGACGCGACAAATAACACAACAGATTTTATTCATTTAGAGAACACAATATGACACGTCGTATTATTATGACAATTTATACTTATTTTATTTTTTCCAGACTCCGCTATGGTACCCACGTGCAGGTGACGAAACGGAGAGGGACGTTTTCCGAATGTTTGATCTCCGTAATTTATTTGGCTTTTGGAAACGAGACGAAAATAGTCACGACAGCACAACGAGACGGCGACTATATTATTATAAATTATAATATATTATTATACACTCGAGAATGAGGGGACCGGCAATGGGTTCGAAACGTTAATACGATATGATGATGACGATGAAACTAAAGACACGTCGCGTTTTATATGTATAAATATATATTTCCGAATGGACGAAAATAACATTCTTGTCCGTGACCAAAATAGTCGAATAGGTAGGCTATTTACCTAAAAAATCATACACAATCTTTTATGTTTCAGTACATTTCTTTTCATAATGAAAGTGTATTGTACTGGATGATTGATTATTTATCGCTAAACACTCATTATTTCAAACATTTTTTTTTTCTGACGATTTATGAAACAAGCAGCTCTTAAACGTTTTACATTTTCATTAAATTTGTCCTTTTTATTTTTGACAGTAAAACGACTGCGTGCTTTTAATTTTTCAAATGGCAGCCTATATTTAAAAAAGAACGGGTATATTTCGCACGTGGGCATAGCCATTGTTGTAAATGGGATGTTGGGAAGGTAGGATAAAGATGGGGATTTAATGTATACCTGTAATCAACAACGAATTATTGCTAACGAAAAAACGATTCTGAGTTCAGTTTATAGTGTTGCTTTGTCAACAATATATATGTCATATTGATAAAATGGTTATAACAAAGTGCGTTTCCATGAAAACAATGATTGTTTAAAAAAGATTAAAATAATAGAAAACTTAATAACAAAAAATAAATAAAAATGGTTGCCAATGAAAACCTTATTTTTTAATCTTTCAATCTTTTTGAAGAACCAGATTTTTCCCATTATCCCGAATATTAATGAGAATTTCTGATAATCGGTGTAAGCATTCTGGTAGAAAAAATGTTCACATAAAAAAAAAAAAATAATAAAAAAAACAATAAACTTCTTTGTAAAACCAATACATTCTTCGCTAATCTCAGGATCTAAAATTCATAACTAAGTAGAGTTTCGGTTTCTGCTATTTGTAACACATGAACGCTAGACTCGATCGCGAAACGAAAGTAACGACACTGTCTAATTTAAAATCAAATATTTTTTATAATTCGATATTAATTAATGATGTATGCAAATTCTATTAGGAAATTCGACTCTGGTCTGGGTCTTCTGAACTTAAAGACCCGGAAAACGTTTCAGCGAGAGTGTAATAAAGTAGTTCTTAAATCAATTTAGAAAACTCATTGTTTTAGATTCTGAGTGTAGCGAAGAATATATTGGTTTTACTAAGATGTTTACTAATTTTCTTTTTTTTTTGTATCCTGTGTACAAAAATTTGACCATAAATCTTCCTCAGATATAAACGCGCGGCACCTTTTCTGAAAGGGAATGTTGTCCATATGGTACTTTTAGGTGGTCATTTTTTTGATTTTCCAAGCGGTTTCCATAATATCTGGGAAAAATCGGGATACAACGTAAGAAAAACGGGAAATGTACGAAATTAATGCTTTTATTATTTTATCAATTTTGTTATTTATTGTAATTCAGTTAAACATATTCGTAGAAAGTTAAAATTTAGACAGTAAACTTTTATTTGCCTTTCCTAGATGTGGTAAAATGTTCAATAGATTTAAGCCATTTTTGAGCTATTTAGAGACATTTTAATTTTGCAAGTTTTGTACGTAATTTTTATTCGGTAGGTACTCTGTGATAAAATTGTTAGACTTAACAGAAATTCTAATTAATATAATTTTTGTTTTTATTAAGAAATTTAGATATTAAATTTTGACGAGAATTGTTTGAATAAAAAATTATGTGGAACAAATCTAATTTTTCAATTTTTTTTTTTTCAAACATTGTCGATTTAAGAAGGATGGTCAGAATTGAACGGGTTAACTAAGTTTCTAAATTATAACTTTTTAAAGTTCAGATATTATGAAGATATTACATGTTTATGTTAAATAACTCTATATTGCCACTTTATTGTACGTTTGTTGTTGTTGAATGGTCATGTATACGTATTGTCATAAGGGGTCGCGGGGTTCAAAAAGAAATGTTTTGCTCCTTTTTTTACCTTTGACCTGAATAGGGAAGAAATGCTTTTTAAGTGAACTTAGAGACCTAGCTATCGCACGCTCGGATGATTATAATCGAAAAATATCCCTCGATTTGTTGCAAACTTTTCTACCGGAAATCTTGCTTCCATGTATCAAGTGTAGCTTATTTTATGAAAAGAAATTTTATCTCCATGGTTTAGGGAGGTCATTTTTGTTATTTTTCAATAGATTTCATAACAACTGAAAAAAAACCGGAATAAAATGACGGAAAAACAGAAAATGTACGAAATATAGGTATTAGTAAAAAAATATTATGGCCTCTTTTTTCTGTGTACAACATTTCTACCAGCAATTTCGCCACGATTTTCAATGATAGCACTTTTTATGAAAGTCAATCAGAATGGGAAGGTTCTTTAGGGAGGTTATTTTTCGATTTTGCCAAGAGTTTTCTTAGCAAATGGGATAATCCTGGAAAAAACATAGTAAAACCGGGAAAAACGCAGGAAAAACGAGAAAATTGATAAAATATTAAACAAATATTATTAAAGAAAATATATAATACCTATTTAATTATTTTACCGTAATATAATATATACAAGTATATTATATACTCGTATATTGTTGACACAGCCTCACTATCAACTGAATTCCACTCAGAATCTTTTTTTCGTTAGCAATGGTTTATCTTTGCTTACAGATATAAATTAAGTCACCTATAACAGTAGCTGCACCCGTCTCCATTAACGTCTTTTTTTTTATTAATTTTCGTGCGTTGACACGATTTATACGTGGTTACTTATAGCATACTTTGGTGTATTTAGAATTTCACTAAAAACGGGAATATTATTGAATTTGAAAATTATGTCATATTGTATACACGGATACCCGCACTACAAAAAAAAAAATCAATTTTTTTGTCGACATATTTTTGTAAAAGTAATTTACATGATTCAATCTGACCTCAAATTGTTATTGAAGTCAAATAGCTAGGTATACTAGCAATTATTATCAATTTATTATCATACAATTTAGATTCTAATCAAACCTTTACGTTTGTACAGTGGTTTGGAAATAGGTTTCGTTTTAAATATGAATATGCATACTCGTTCAGGGTTTTTTTTTTTAATGTATTCACGTTTGGTATCAACACATGAAATTGTTGATTTTCCCAACTAAAAAGTGAAATTTAAGTATGAAGTTAAAAACACGCAGTCATTTAAATAACAAATACTAAAAAAAAGTTCAAGAGGGCAGATATACTGCGCCACTATAGTGTAGTACTGTGAATACGTTTTATGTTTATTGCCGTATAGTGTACACAGAAGCTCAGCGCGTTTATACAACAATATGCATGTCTATTATTTATACTCTGAGTGTAGTGAAGAAGCTATTTTTTTTACTACAATGTGTTTTTTTTAACCGGAAAACAATTTTTCTATTTATAAAACTGATCTAAATCGTTCATATTATTCATTAAAAGATTCACACGTATAATTTTTCTAGATCCTTGATAATTTTGCTTAGAAATTGAAAGAAAAAAAAAAAGACAAAAAATGGAGATATGTCTGTTTTATTTTTGTGGCTTTCCGGATAATCTTGGATATAAAAATGGATAAAAAAAAAACTTATTAGTCGACCGAGCTCCGTTCGAAATCGATTTGCAATAATTTATCGTTGCTTTTAGTATATAAATTAAGTAACGATAGACTTTCCCAACTTCCCGGCTGCGACAAAGGTGCGAATTAGGTCCGGAGTTAGTTTCGTTTATTTTCGAACGTATATTTTGTACAGACGTCGACGGGTCATCTAATTTACACGCAAGCACCGATTTCCTCCCCCCCCCTGAATTGTACAATTCAATAATACAAGAGATCATCAAGAGAAAAAAAAAAAAAACAAATACTCCGAAAGTCAAACGACAATATATTAGAAGTATTGAGAAATCCCGTTCGCCTTTTAATCTTCTCCAGCCGAATTCGCCTAAAAATAATACGAAAAAACGTCGTGCAAACCGAGTCGATATAGTTCCGGAGATTACTCGTGACAAAAAATAATAATAATAATAATAATAAAAAATAAATAAATCGTTTTTTTTTTTTTATACGCGTACACATTTAACGGGTTATTCGATTTCGCAGCGATATTGCCGCTCAGTTTATTTCGTACAACGATACAATTTAACGACGCGAAAAACACCAAAACTCTTCAATTTAATACAACACAATACGAATAATAATAATAATATCGTAATGAGTAATGACGTATAATTGGGTCGGTTTTTCAGAGCCTAGAAAGCGTTCGCTGACGTAATAATGCGGGTACAGGTTGCGGAATGATGACCGAAAAAACACGATTTCTGTGTTTTTATTATTGTTATTGTCGTACACCCAGATATTTCATTTGCGTGGTATTTTCCCCGTTTTATTTTCTAAAGCCATTTTACCGCGGTCTGCCGGACGATTTCCACCTGTTTCGCGTCGCACAGTCGCGCGGACGGCACCCTACGCGCTACCGTTGCCCGTTATTTTCGCGCGTTTCGGTGTAAAATCGTGCGGCGGACGTCGGACGACAGTTGTAACACACGCGCCCCCCGAGACAATTGTGCAGGTATGTCGTCCTGGACAATAGTCGCGACGCTATGCATGGTGAGTGCACATCAACAATACTATTATAATCGTTAAACAACGCGTTTTAGCCTAAAACATAAACGCCAAACTCGCGTTATAATGTACGTGACACGTGTTATAGGACGGTCCGTCATTGGTGTCGGATGGTCGTCATCCGGTCCGAAATGTTGAAAAAAAAATGTCCCCATTTTTTTTTTGGGTTTTCGTTTCATCATCCCTCCGTGTCACTGTTTCTACGTTGAATTTCCATTCGCAATGAGAACATATACGGATTCAGTGTGTTTAGACAAATGCACGGATTCAATAAACTGGACCTAAACTCGCCCAGTATTTCAATGGGCCCTGAAAAAATACCATGTCACGGTAAATTTTCGAGTGAATATATGACGTTTTAAAACGATACAAATCGATTTTTATGAAATGTTATAATAAAATTAATTTGGTTTTTTGCGGGTGCAATACTTTTATCTACCATTTTTCGCCCGATATTCAAATGTCTTCTTACGAGTATGTATATTCGATTTTCAGAAGATTCCAAAAAGCTAGCACGCTGCACTCGGAACCAGTGTCGATTTTTTAAAAATTAAATGATTAATTTAACGCAAAAAAAAAAAGAGTCAATGAAGGGAATAAAATGCAAATCTAAACAAATTAGGGACATATTTTTTTAATATTTTTAATATAGAACCGATTAATATCTATCAAAACGGAATTAAAAATAAAAATAAATCTTATAAAGACTAACCTAATATATGTATTCTATAGATTATATTGTATAAAAAAGAATATGTGTCTGTTTGTCCCTTATGCACTACTACACCATTCGTCCGATCGCCATGAAACTTTTGTTCCACGTTGTACGGAGAAGGTTTATGTAGCTATTGAAATCTACTCCATACTGGACACCATTCCCTAAAATTCGATATTTCTGTATTTTTAATATAAAGACCTAATTGTTTATGTTGATTTACGGGTTACCTCGGTAACACGAATGAAAAAAAAAAAACATAGTGTAATTCCCGTGCTGTGCGGGTATCTACGGTAATAACATATAAGTAATTCGTTCTATATTATCTTTTATACATAAAATAACATGTCCTGAATGACCTGACTGATTGGTTCATCATCGCCTAGCCCAAACTACTGGACGGAACGGGCTGAAATTCGGCATACACATAGCTATTATGACGTTAGCATTCGCTAAAAAAAGGGGTAAATTATGGGTTTTAGATATATTTAGTACGAATATGGAATTGTCCGTTTCATGGGTTACCTGGGTGACACGAATGACAGTTTAGTTGTTACGCACAAGAAAACTATTATTATCATAACTATTATTTACACAATTATCCAGCAAAAGCAAAGCGTTATACAGCATTATTACAGCTAATAGTTTGTATTGAAAAAAAAAAAAAAAATCCGACGACTATTTCGTTCTATTTCTAATCTATTATAATCGATGATTGAGTGCGCGTGTATTGTTACTTTTAAATTATACATATATTACAGCCATCGTTGTTTTGTTTTTGTTTTTACCGTAATCAGTTTCAATATTGTATTTATATGCATGGTTATTAACAGTCATAAATTCGTTTGTGTACGCGACGTGTACATAAATCATAAAATACCTATATATTATTCGTTCTGAACGGCAATAAAAAACAAAAAAAAAAAAAAGTTAAAACCCGGGGAGATACTAACGAACATTATCGTCCAATAATAACAATAATTGCTCGCTCAGATAAATTCTATAATTAGATTGCTATTTTTTAACCAGTAGTATACGTTACGACGACGTGATAAATCTTTTCTATATCGCTGTGTTTTCGCTCTTAATCGACGTACGGTACAACAAAGTCCCGTTTCGTGTCGGCTCGTTCACTATAGAATTGGTCATGGGCATTATTCAAATAGTTCTTAAATTTCTAATGGGAAAAATCCTAAAAAAAAAAGAAAAAGAAAAGAAGGCTGGTATTCTTAATGGGCGTATCACTGTTTTACGAAACTTGAAAGGGCGGATACATAAAGTTAATTAATGTATTTCTATGAGTAACGACAATGCATTGCTAAAGAAATACGATTCCGAGCATAATTAGTCGTATGTTTTACCTTGTTGCCAAGGTAACCCAGAAATCAACAAAACATTTTTTTCATTTATTAAGATAAACTACAAGGAAGTTAAAAAAAATAATTACCTTAATGCACCAACTAGATCAAAAATTCTACAAGAAAGTTTCTTTAAAGCTTATAATTGGAGTTATATTTCTGATAGAAAAGTTGTTCACAGTCGGAATAAAAGCACACATCATAGTAAAACCAATAGGTCCCCCGGTATGCTCCGAATCTAAAATAAATATCATTGTAAAACCAATACATTCCTCGTTTCGCTCAGTATAAGGAAAAAAATCGAAAACAATGAGACTGTTAATGCCTTTTTCCGTTATTTCCTGGTATTTTACGATTATAAGGGAAACTGTATACAAAAAAAAAAAAAAAAAAACCTAAATGTCTCATATAGATCCAAAATCCTGAATCAAAGGACTTTTGATTGTCGTAGCAAAGTAGCAAAAGTAGCAAAAGTGTTCACAGACGAATACAAAATAAAACATGAATAATCGCACAAACCAATACATTCCTCGTTTCGTTAAGAGTCTAATAATGAAAAAAATAATGATCGTGTTTTCAGAGTTTGAACGGATTTTGGTCGTTGAAATATCCCAAAGACTACGGGCCGACGTTGTTTGCAGACCGTTGCGGTACGACGGTGTTCGATTTCATAGTAGTGGGCGGCGGTAGCGCCGGCGCTACCGTCGCGTCCCGTCTGAGCGAAGTGCCCGAATGGAACGTGTTGCTTTTGGAAGCGGGCGGCGATCCGCCCGATTACACGGAAATCCCGTTGCTGTACAGCGAAGCATTGAGGAGTGATAGCGACTGGTCGTTTTTCACCGAGCCCGAACAACACTTGTTCAAAGGCTTGGAACGTGGCAGAAACCTTATTTCCAGGGGCCTGATGTTGGGGGGATCGTCGTCTATGAACGCCATGATGTATTTGCGGGGTACCAGGCAGGACTTTGACACGTGGGAGCGACTTGGCAACACCGGATGGGGATTCAATGACGTGTTCCCGTACTTTCTCAAGTCCGAGGATTTCACGGGCAGCGGGAACAGGCTCGATCCCGGGCTCCACGCGCGGGGCGGTCCACTAACTGTCAGCCCGTTCGAGTCCATTGACCCTGCTTACCAGGTAATCGTCGAGGCCGAGCGTCTGATGAATCTAACCGAGGTGGATGATTTGAACCGTGTCGTGCCACCAGTGATCGGGTACGGGAAACTGGACGGCACGGTCCGACGAGGACTCAGGTGCAGTACGCTGAAAGCGTTCCTCATACCGGCCGCCAATAGATCGAATCTCTTTGTCGCGAAAAACGCGAGGGTCACTAGAGTGGTGTTCGACCATAACAGACGGGCGGTAGGTGTAGAGTTGCTAGTGCCACCGTCTTGCGGCGGGCTTGTCACCAATGTCGTCAAGTACGTGTACAGTAAACAAGAAGTGATACTTTCCGCGGGGGTCATAATGAGCCCACAAATTCTGATGGTCTCGGGCGTAGGGCCTGCAGGGCACTTGCGCGAGCATGGAATCGATATCGTCGCGGATTTACCCGTCGGATACAATTATCAGGATCACGTTTCGTTCGCGGGACTCGTCTTTAGCGATCGGAAACACAGGCCTAAGAGCGAAATATCCGAAGAGAGCAGGGTATTGATACAGAGAACCATGGATTTAACGACCAGTGGTATAGCAACGCTGGGCCTCACGAACCTCGTGACGTTCATTAAGACCCGAAAGGACGCGATGTATCCCGACCTGCAGATAGTGAAGGTACGGTTTTCGTACAACACGACGCGGAAGACGACGAATAAAAGGAGCAGAATGTCCAATCTGTTCGGGTATTCGGATCGGGTGGCGAGATTGTACGACGAACTGAACACCTTGAGCGACACGATTCTCATGATACCGATAAACGTGAACGACCGGAGTACCGGACGGGTCGTGTTGCGGTCGTCCGACCCGAAGGCGTACCCGAAGATCCACGCCAATTACCTGTCGTACGCCGACGAGGTCGAAACACTGCTCCGGGGCATAGAATTCGTGGTGGAATTGTCGAAAACGGAACCTATGGTCAGCGCCGGTCTGGTCCTGGAACAGGTCAGGTATCCGGATTGCGCAAACTACGCGTGGGGTACCCGGGAGTATTGGTTGTGCGCCATCGAGAATGTAGCCGCGTCCTTCTATCACCCGGTGGGCACGTGCAAAATGGGACCCGCCGACGATTACAGGACGGTGGTGGACACCGCGTTGCGGGTGAAAGGCGTCCGCGGGTTAAGAGTTATCGACAGTTCGATAATGCCGAAAGTCGTATCGGTCAACACGAACGCAGCGACCATAATGATAGCCGAAAAGGGATCCGACATTATAAAACAACATTACGGCAAGCTCGTGTGATCGGCTCGTGGATCGTGACCTGCACGCTTTGCCGACGGGCAGCGTTTCGATGGTCTCGAATGTCTCGCCCTATTGCCAAAAACTCAAAAGTATCCCTCCTACACTGCATTTTCCGGAGTGATAGCGACATTTTCGAATTCCGTCCAATCGTTCAATTTGCCTTCTACTATATTATATGTATAGATTTTCAAGTACATTGTAAATCGTATAGTAATTGTATTCAATAATTATTTTTTCGATCTGTCTGTTTAATAATGAAAAAAAACACCGCGAAGTGTTTTAATGCATAATAGTATATGGTATACTTTACTTTACAATGTTAAATAATGTTTTTCCGTCGACTATTTTATATAAGTTATTTAGACTATTGTTAATGTGTTATATAAATGCATATCAGCTATACAGCTAATGTGTGTTGAAAATAAAAGTAATTTCAAATGTGTTTATAATCTAAAAAAAACCTATTTCGTAATTTAATTTGCATTTAAGGAACATAAAGATATGCGAAGTTAAGCTTACGTCAAATAGATAAGGCTATGGGACATAAATAATTATCGGACTGTTTATAATACAATAGTATATTTTGACCGTCGTAAATGCTAATTAATTTATGTGCAATATAAATTGTTTTTACGGAGGGCGAGCAGGTTTCGTGCCGTTCGATGGCCAAAACGATTAGCCTAATTGTATTAATTAATCGATTAACATAAATAAATATGTATAGTATGGCGGTTGGTGGATTTAAATTAACATAAGAATTAACAAAATTCGAAATCTTAATCCACGACCGACTAAGACTGCTCGATGGCACGAGTGGATTATCCGTCAAGTTCCTTCAAGACAACGGTATCAAAGCTACGGTTCAGGCAGGTTGTGCTTGAGGTAAATCGGTCTTTGAACCGCACAAAAACAACAGTGTTGTTATAACAGGTAAATTTTTTTGTAAACGAGCACAGTTTTGTTTAAAATTGCGTTAAATGATTTGAGTTTAGTAACATTTTCGAATGTCGAAAAAGACTATTGAACACGAACAGAGTACAAAATCTTTTCAGTTTTCCAAAAATCCGCCTGCATCGTATGCGTATTTTATCCGGTTCGTTTTGCGGTGACTGTATACGTAATGATGTTATTTCGATGAATAACTTCCGGTCTGCGTAATTACTAACAAAAGTTTTATAATTATGAGTAGACAATCCAGATTCACAGATTCGATCCATAGTCCGTTTATTAAACGCAATTATGGTCGAAACACAAATGTAATTAATTACGTATCGTTGTAAGAACGAATTATCAGGGTCGTCACTTAATAACTGGTACAATTTTTTCATTTTTAATATTTCGTCTGCTTTAATTTATTAATTGTAAACCGGATTATACGGATCATTTTCATTTTTTTTTTTTCAGCACTAGACCGGGTTAGTTTATAGGTATACTCGCGGCCGAAACGAATTTACACGAAGAATAATATTAATTCGGCTCGTAAAACGCACGCTATACTATATAGTACCACGTTTGCGATGTTCATGCGATGGCAACTTCCCCGATCCATATAGGAATGCGTCTAGACCTTGACTGTACATACACATTACATGTATAATGCAACCGTATACACGGGCTTGTCTGTTTTTACGTATATTCGTAAATAAGTGTATATATATATATATATATATAAAAAAAAAAAAAAAAAAAAAAAAAAAAATGTTTCCGACCCCTCCCAACGAAGTCGGCCTGTCGAAGCAGTGACATATGCATTGCGGCCAAGTCTGTTTTACTCTTCATTCAGAAACGCGCCCAGTGTTAAACAATACCAATAAAAGAGCGGTGTTGCTCGTGAAGTGAACGGCTATGACTTATGGATTAAATAAAGAGCACACGAGGCCACAATACTATTGCAGATATCACTACTTTGATAGGCTGCTTTTTTTTTTTTTGCGAAGTGCATTGGGACTAGGCCCTTTTAAATTCGGAGCGTGACGGGGAATCAATTGATTTTACAATGTGTGTGTGTGTGTGTGCGTTTTTTTTTTTTTGTCTGCGAACAACTTTTCTATCAGAAAACTTGCTCCGAAATATGGACAATAGCATATTTTCTGGAAAGTAATTTTCTCTCGTTAGCGCTTTGAGGAGGTCGATTTTTGATTTTTCAAGGGGTTTTCGAAATAATCGGGAAAAACCGAAAGAAAATTATAGTTAAAACGGCAAATATTTACGGCACGCCGCGGCGTTATCGTTTTCACTATTTTTATTATGTTAACACGGTGTTTTCAACCAGAAATATTATTTCAATCGAAAATTGCAAGTGATTAACTTTGTTTCCGACAATTACAGGGGCGTTATGCAATAGTATACGAATGCATCCCTTACATTTTTTTTAGTACACCTAAAATTTATAGAAAAAGTTAACTACAAAATAATTTATATTCTGAAATGTTCATTATGTAATTTTTTTTTTTTTAAAAACAAAGTCATTAGAATATTAACAAACAAACTACAATAACAATGAGTAGACTTAATTAAATTTACAACAAGTACAACAAATTAATTGGTTTTTATTTACTGTTCCAAGTATGTCCAACTCAAAAACCATCTCTTTCTCATATACTTGCACCCTAATGGCTTTGCTTTGTATTGCATTGCTTCCGTTTTAGTTGGTTTGATTTTAATTGTATAGATTTTCAATACATTTTTAAGAAATTCTGGCAAAGAACTGGTTTGTGTCGTAAATATTAATGCATTGTAATTTGAATTCTTTAAATACTTGTTGCCATACGTATTAAAATAGCGTAAACAATATTATTTTAGATTCTGAGTGGAGCTTAGAAGTTTATGATTTTACAAAGATGTTTATTTATTTATTTATTTTTTATCTGTGCGCAACTTTTCTACCAGAAATCTTGAAATTTTTAAGTGTAGCACTTTTTCTGAAAGGAAATCAGTGTAAAGAGGTACTTTAGGAAGGTCATTCTCGGATATTTTCATGAATTTTTTCATCAAATGGAAAAAATCGAAAATAAAAACGGAGGAGAAACGGGAAAATATAAGAAATGTATAGGACTAATTAAAATATATTACGGCCTTCTTTTTTCCTGTGAACAACTTTTCTACCAGCAATTTTGATCCAATTTATAATAAAAGCAATTTGTCTAAAAGGAAATTCGATTGGGGTCATTTTTCGATTTTTTTAGGAGTTTTCTCATTAAATTTGAAACCGGGATATAATATGGGAAAACAGAAAAACGTAGGAAAATCGGTACAACATTAAATAATTATATAAAACCTATTTAATAATTTTACTATAATATGATATGTATATATTGTTGACAAAGCATCACTATCATCAGAACTCCGCTCAGAATCGTTTTTTCGTTATTAATGGTTTATTGTTGCTTACAGGTATCCATTAAATTATCTATAACAGTGGCTGCACCCGTCTCCATTATCCTAGGAAGTCTTTTTTTTTAATATTCGAATTTTGATTAATGTCGATAACCATATTATATCAAATTGAGTTTTTATAATACTGTTGGGTACTTTAATAACATTCATAAACAGATTATACGGTTTTTAGATGATTATTGTTTGATCTTTGATATTCAGTTCTGTTGTTTGTCCATCTGTATCATTACCATTTTTTACTTACAGAGGACAAATGACCTTTTCCACCGCAATTGTTGTATTCATAATCTTTGTACCTGCAGTCTTTTTAAACGTGATTGGAACAGCCACAAACTTCATACTTTGACTTTGATTCCTTAAGCACATTGAAATTCCGCTTGAATTGACCGTTTCCATTGGTTTTTCTGTGGTACTTTAGATCGACGCCATCTTCTTTTCTCCAGTCACTTTTCTCATTCATTGCTGCATCTTTAGTTGTTGAAATTTCCATTAAATTTGAATACGTTACATCACATGTTGACACGTCTTCTTGTTAAAGACGATCTTATAATCAACAAATTATTAATTCTGGACATTGAGCTGAAAGTTAAGAAACGATTTGCAGCGGTTTCGGGTACTCCCAATCCCATTCAGCCCTTCTGTTGTTAAACCTTTTGACGCGCAAGCGACATCCGTCCGAATCAATAGTTTGTAGCTGTTTTCAATGATAAACCATCGCTAACAAAAACAATTCTGAGCGAAAGTCGGTTAAACGTGTATTGTTTCGAAACGTTGCGATCGTCGCGGTTTTTGTAAAAAAGGCCAACTTTAAACTTTCATATAGAAAACGATATTATTACGATTTAAAATCTTCGAAAATCGATTTGTTGCGTTTATCTTTCGCCGTGTGTACGAATGGATACGGAAATCGATTTCGCAGGGTCTCCGTGAGCGTCCGCGGGGAAAACGAATGCCGAGTTCGGTTGTCGATGATCGCATCGGGTCCGGTATTTGGCATTGTCGTCGTCGTTGTCGTCGTCGTCGTCGTCGTCGCTTTCGCTTGTTGTGAGATTTAAATTTAGAACGAAGTGTAGGCCTTAGCCGTGGCGGCGAACGTTCATTCGGAGGCTGGTGACGAATGCTCTTAACGGGCTAATATATGGGCGGACGATTTCGCGAAAACTCGAGCGCAGCACGTGTCGCCTCCCCCCCCTCCCCCCCTCCCCACAGCTCTGGAATGCGTGACCTCTCCGAATAATATTAATACGACGTCCGTCGGGTATAATAATAAACGCGCGAGTGATGATTTAAACGAAAAAATACCATCTATATTATATAGTATACGGCACACGCGGGTAATAATATTATAGTTTTGGACAAAAAAAAAAAAAAAAAGGGGGGNTTTGGAAAAAAAAAAAAAAAAAAAGGAGGGAGGGAGGAAGATATTGCTGACGGATGTGTCACTATTATTAGGAAACAAGTCGGAAGGGAAGACGTGATATAGCGTAATCTATTTTTTATCTGTACGCGACGATAAACCGTTGCTAACGAGTATTAAATATTAGTCGTGTGTTTTTCCTCGTTACCAAGGTAACCCAGAAATCGACAAAATTGTATACTTTACGGTCACGGTGAATGTTAATACTTTTTGTATGCAAAACCCGATTTTATGCTGTAATTCTAAATTTTAAGGAGTGTATTAGTCTATTGTCAAACCCGAAGGTAAATATCGTTTGTTTTTGTACGTTGATTTTTTCTTATCGATATGTTAATTCTCAAGCGAGCTACGAATATGAATATAAATATCATCGAGCCTGGCTTGAAAATTAAAATATCCCTAGAAAAAAAAAAAATCTAAAAAATATAACGACATGAACCGAATTATACAAAATTAATACCGTAACAAGTACAACGAATTCTCAGTTTTTTTCATTTATCAAAAAAAAAAAATAAAATTGGAAGAAAAATAGAAAAATGACCTTCTAAACGCTTCTAAATGATTTCTGGTAGAAAAGTTGTTTACACAAAAAAAAAAAAATGCGCATCGTAACAAAACCAATACATTCCTCGCTTAGCTAAGTATTTAAAAAAAAAAAAAAAAAAAATTAGTTAAATTTCACGCATTTTGACTGCAATTATTGGGAACGGGCGTCGGTAATAAAAACAGTGATCAATGAGAACCCGTCCAAGATGGGAAAACCAATACAGGATATGCAGAAGTGTCGGAGACGAGAGGCAACACACGGTACAAGCAGTAGACGGTGAAGGAAACACGTTCGGAGGGCTAGTATTTAAAGGCAATGTAACAAACAAAACAATAAATAAAGGAATGTTATCTGAAAAAATGTAGATGCCCCGCCGCCGACGACGATCAAGTTTGTATTTTATCGCTGCACCGGACGGAATAATATTTGTATAGTTAATTTGTGACGCAGCATCGGGATATTACAATATAAGTGTCTGTGTGTACACTAATAGCGTGAAATTAATAATATTGTTTTATTAATTACGGGCTTTATCCAGTGGCGCACCGATAGGGCGGCAAGATGGGTAACGAGCCACGGGCCCACGATATTCAGGGTCTCGAGACATTATTTTTCAGTGGATGTACAGGTGAATTGAATACAGGCGACGGTCGTTGTTTCACTCATTAAGTAACGCGAGTGGACGGACAAACGTATGAGAACACGCCCCTTTTCCCTTTTATTGCTCCAAACTGTGTAAATCGGGCCCCGACCCGGATCGTGCCTCCCGATTCGGTCGATCTAGTATATTTTGCCACAGGTATTAGAAGTTCTAGTAATCGCCACTAGGTTCTGCCCGTGCAATGAAAAATTGTCCAAATAAAGTTGATAGACAGAAAAATTATCATTATATGCTATTACCGTAAATACCCGCACGGCATAAATATTAACAACGATGTTTTTTTTTCATCCGTATTATCGAGGTAACCCATAAATCTATGAAAAATAATACGATTTATATATTAAAAATACCTAAAAAACCGAATTTTCGGAAATTGTATTCAACCGGGGGGGGGGGCGGATTTCAATAGTTGTGGACTTTCTTCGAATAACGTGGAACAACTTTCCAAAGTCTCGTGCTGATTGGATGAACGCACGGTGTGGCAATGCATAAAGGACGAACAGACATACATTCGTTTTTCTGTACACCGATATAATGTAGAAGACACGGGCAGACTGTAAATACATTTTTTCTGTATAAAATTGAAATCGTGTACATTTGTCAAACCTACGGTTTAATTGCGATATCGGTGAAATTTCGCGCGCTCGACGTACAAAAAACGCGGAAAGCGGCCGTCTACTGTCGAACTTCGGCTCCTAGAGGATAAGACAGACCAGACAAATATAACGAACAAATACACAAACGAAAAATGTACGCGTAAAAACAAAACGGATAAACGAACGGGCGCGCCGTCCTGAAGGATGACGCGGAGACGGGATTTTCGATATTTTCAGAACGAAAATTGAACTCGGTTGTTGTCGATTTGGATAGGAACAATAGCGGGGACACGCGGGAGACACCGTAGTCGAACTGAATTCCTTCCGTCGGACGCTGTTTTCGAATGGAATTTATTTATTTACCCGAGTAAAAAAAAACAAATCATTACAATAATCGTAGTGTTAATAATGAAATCGTCGCGAGCCGCAGTTGTTGTGATCGCGAGTGATAAAATCGCTGCCGCGGTCAACGTAGAATTGTGTAATTTTTTTTTTTTTTTACATTATTCGATCGAACGCCATATAGTTTTATTGTTTTATTTATTATTATTATTATTTTTTTTTTCTGTCGAATCGGCGGCGCCGTTATTCGGCGATCGACGAGAGAGGACCCATTATAACAACATACACACCGGGGACGGCGAGTGTTTATTTATTTGAAACAAAAAAAAAAAACAAGGAAAAAAAAACGTACGTACGTACGTTGGCAGGCCCGAGTGCTCGAACGGCCGCCACAAGGCGCGCGGGACATTTTTTAAATAGCTCGGCGGCGGCGGCGGCGATCTGGACGCGGGCGCGTGTCAGTGTGTGTCTAAACGCGTACGGACGTACGCCCGCGTCCCAGTGTCCGACCCTCACGAGTACCGTGCGACTGTGCGCGCCGCGAACGTGCGACGGAATAGTGCGCCGCGGCTTCGCGGTGTAGAACGGCTTTGGGTTTCCGTAGTCATCGGGTTCGATGCGGCGGCCGTCATGGGCGGCGGCGACGGCGGCGGGACGGCTGCGCTGGCACTGGTACTGGTGACGGCCGCGGCCACGGTGGCGGTCACGGGCGGCACCCGGGCCGAGGTGCTCGGCTACACGGAAACCGTGTGGCTGGACAGACAGGGGCCGCTCAAGGGCCTGGTCACCACGGTCGGCGGCGGCGGCGAATACCAGCAGCTCGACCAGGTGGAAGTGTACCTGGGCGTGCCGTACGCCGCGTCCCAGGAGCGGTTCATGCCGCCCGGCGAGTCGCCCACGTGGTGTCCGAAAGCGGAAGACGGGTCGTTCGACCGGAGCCACTGCCGGCCGCTGCGTGCCGAGTACCTGAAACCGGTGTGCCCGCAGCGGCTGCCCGACCTGGTGATGGCCAACTCCAACAAGCGGCTATCGGCCGTCAGGCAGAGCTACCTGAAGCGGTTGACCTCGTATCTGGGCAACCAGAGCGAAGACTGTCTGTATCTGAACATATACGCCCCTCACGGTGAGCGTACATTATTATTGAACGACTGTTCCCCCATTCATTATCGTATACAATATACGGGGTGACTTTTTTTTATCATCAACCAGCAATTATCTCGGAGGATTTTATGCGAATTCGATTGAAAAAGTTATGGCTTTAAACTGTTATAACTCATATGCCTACGGTGTATCTGATATCACTGTTATGCGTATCGAAATGTCTAGACAAATATTCTCTATTCAAATCTGTGTTTGAAAAGGGGGAGGGGGGGGTTCTTATTTGAAAAGCGAAATTATGTACTTATTTAATGTGTATGGAGTAGGGGTAAAAAATTAAAAATGGTTTTAAAATAAAGCTTAAACGATTTCACAATGATTAGAAAAAACAGAAATCGAATTCACTTAGAATCCTCCAAGACAATTGTCGGTTCGTGATAAAAAAAAATCACCCTGTATACATTTTTTTTTTTTTTTTTAACCAAAAACGAGAAAATATTAAAGAATTAATATACTGTTCAACAAATTATCATTATGTACTATTACCATAGATACCCGCACGCCGCAGGAATCCGCGCTTCAAATCCGCACATATATTATAAACAATCTAGACAGCCGACCTCGTGTTTCGTAATGAACAAAGTATGAAGTTGGTCGCCATAGTCCAAGAGTGCAAACAAATGATGTGATAATATTATGATACATGGGGTCTCAACAATTTTTAAAAAAACAACAGTACAAAAGTATTGAAATCAAATTTAATTTACTTTTCGAAGAAGTTTTTGCTGAAATTTTAAAATATAATGTACAACGATGGTTGTTTGTCGCTGTGTGAACTGATACAGTATCAAATAATGCCATTGTTTGCACTCCAAGTAAATAGTGACAAGCTTCATTTATAACACCGAAGTCGGCTATCTAGGTTATGTACTATATAATATACAAGTTTGTACAATTCACAGTGTTTTTTTTTTTTCGTTTCATCCGTGTTACCAAGGTAACCCTACACATAAGTCAACAAAAATATGACGATTTTTATACTGAAAATGCCTAAAAACCGAATTTTAGAAGATGGTATTCAACAGGGGGTGGATTTCAATAGCTATAAACCTTCTCCGGACAACGCGGAACAACTTTACACGGTGTCGGGGCGATCGGACGAACGGTGTAGTAATGCATAAAGGACGAACGGACACATAGTCGTTTTTTTTTATGTGTACGTTACGGTAAATGTTGTGAATTCGGTTAATGTTATTGTATTCATGTATCGACCTATTTTGTAATGTTTTGTACTAATTTCAATATTAGAGTTTATTGGCCTATTATCAAACTTAAATGCGAGTACATTGTTTGTATTTATACGTTGGTTTTATTTCGATATTTTAATTTAAAAAAGCGAGATAGGATTATTTTTCAAAATCGTAATATTTTACATATTCGTAACCCGTTTGGAAATTTAAATAGAGAAAAAAAAACTAATGTACAAATATAGGCAATATTCTTGTCTTTAGTTTTAATAGTATACAAATAATACACCCTAATGTTAAAACTAAATATTTATATGTGGTTAAAAAATTTCGATTACAAATATTAATATTGCTGGGACGTTATTGGGTAGTCTCTATAGTGTAAGCGGTTGTTGACAGTGGCATGTATAAGAATAGTTTTAAACATATTATCTATGTACAGATCGTAATCATTCGAGTTTTCATCTAGACAGGGAAAATTGATAATTCCGAAAAACAATCACCTACCGAGAGTATAATTTTCGGGAAAATAATAATCTCGAATTCAAAAACCGGAAATTAAAATTGAAAATCCGTGACGCCAATTTGTTGGTAATCGAATCTAACCGAAAGCTAATTTTCTCGGCAAACGTGATGACCGCGGGCTTTAGTAGATCATAGATATTAAAAATAATAAATATATTACGTGTGCGGCTTTCCTGTAAAATACACGTCACGATACACGTTTCGCAGCTGTTATCGCAAAACAATCATCAGGGTTCGGGACATAGCACAAGCATTTGCTTATTATGTTGGTTCGTATATTAGTTCTAACAGAACAATATAGAAATTTAGGTAATTTTATAACGAGTTTAGTGTTTTTTTTTTTTTTTTGTATTTTAATTTTGACAATTTTTTCAAAAATGGCATTTTTAATAAGTATGCTCTGAGACACTCTAAATTGTTATAGCGTGTCCGGTAAAAGAAAGAGAGCTGCAGGTCGCCCTCGAAACTCGTATGCAGGTAAGACAAATTAGGAATGACGCGAGAGTCAAAACGTTTAAGGAACTTAAAGAAATAGCGGTATCGTAGACCAGCCTACGGGTTTAAAAACCATATAATTTATGGTAGGTATATTTTATGCGATTTAAAAAGTTTTATCTGGACGAAATGAAAACACATCTATTTAGATAATTTTTCTAGATAAAACAATATTGTTTGACGTTTAAACGCGTACTAGACAGCCGTAATCGTAATATTTTGCACTTATGAATAAGCAATGATTGTCACAGCGCAGACCTTCGCACATTTGACACCGTTTTCCGCTATTTACCGTAATCGTATTATTTACGCTCATTCTCGTTAGGCATCTCGTCTGTTGAAATTGTTAAAGGTTGAGTTGCGTCGTCGTCGTCGTTCACGTAAAAAACAAATTTTATTTTATATTTATTGTAAACATTAAAAGTACCCAACAAAATGTTGAAAAAATGTGGGTAAAATGTCAAACAAATATTCAGTATAATTATGAATTATTCGAAAATCAGCATAGCAAAAACGTAAGGATTGACGATACCCGCATTATGTGTCTGATAATGATGCACTAGTAATTTAAAAAATGAAAATAACGAAAAAATGTATTTTCATTTTCTAATATATAATGTTGGAACTGTTTCCCCCCCCCCCGGTTTCGAAAAACGTACATTCTGTTTCATACAGTAACAAATACGAACACCCAAATCGATGTTTACTTACGATTTTCGTTTGTAGTAAATGTCAATCGTTTAAAAACGATACTACACCGAGTAATACTTTTAATCTTTTACTCCTACGATTGATCGATTGTACTTACATTTTACTCCATTTATCGCTGTCACTTACATATAGTTCTCTGTATTGCGCCGTATTATGTATTTGTTCCGGTATCTTCCACTAATTGTTTCACGAACAGCGTTCTTGATTATATACTTATCTTTAATTCGGTTTTTTTTTTCAGAGGAGGCGGCGAATTTTCATAAAATTATAAAATAATAATTTGTGACCTACATTTTCAAATAACTTTTCGCGTGTTTCGACTATTATTCGAAAACGATCGCCAACTTGATTTTATAATGACTAAAATGTGTTTGGGCGAAACTGGTATTTGGAGTGAAATTGGGTAAGGTCGAATTTTGGGCGAAACGGATTCCACCTTCCTTTTAAACGTCCTGTGCGTATTTCTATCTTAAGCAAAGAACCAACAGAGCTCTTTTCCAGAGCCAGAATCTTTCAATTGGGTAAGACTTAGAATTTGGCATCATCGGTCTTATGAACGCCGTGTCCACGTTTCGATTCCATACTTTCTTATAATATTTAAGATATACATTATATAGTGTATACATTGAACATGGAAATTACACGAAATTTATCTTGAGTAACACTGTTCAATGGATATTATTGTTACATGTGCATTTTTTATTCGATACATAAAGTAAACATAATATTTTATTTTAAACTTTTATTTTGCATTAGTCTAGCTTTTTCTGCAGCGTAAACAGTAATAATAATTGTTATTATTTCGTTCGGAGCTTACATTATACGATGACTGATGCGTATTTAATTCGTTTTAATAACGCAAATTACGTGGGCGTAATTTTTATGGTTCATACAGTGTTTCGCGGAGTGTTGTGTGTGCGAACAACAGCAGTCGGTAATAATAGCACGACTTTCGTTATAAACTGTATAGTTTTCATTTGGGACTCGCAGTCTAGTGTTTTAATATAACGCCTTCTTTTTTTTCATTATACATTCTAAACCTAAAATTGTCTACGTACAAGCGGAGATTTTATACCTTTATAAAGGGGGGAGGGTTAGATTAAATGATTTTCAGAGGAGACTAAGCACCCCCTAGCCCCTCTCCCCAACCGTCGCTTATATTTTTTTGCTGTATCAATTTTTCCGTAATCCCTATATTGTTTTCGATAAGATATGTTATATACCTATGAATACATGTTTTAATGTTAATACGCGCGATTCGTTTGAAAATTACTCAATAATTACATCCAATTTGAACACTGGTTCTCAATCTTTATTGATTCATGTCACCCATATCAACAATAAACCAATATTTAGTCGCCCTACCAATGCACAATTCATTGAAACTATAGGGTATTCGAGGAACGGTACCATCATTGAAAATTGAATGATAAGGAGGGTATGTTACGTTGTACGGACTTTGTTAGTGGTTACATGATGACGACGGCAACAATACGATTGAAAAATTAAAAGTTGTTTTATTTTTTTCCGTTTCCCCGACGGGGACTTCGTGTAACCTCTGCACTGCATACACGACATTTCACCCTGGTTGGAAACCACTGATTTAGAGAAACGTAAATATTGGTACATTATATTTTTCCTAGTAAAATATATTATCTGAAGCATGATTAAGGGCCGACTCTTGAACTCATCATGTTAATTTCGTTTTTGATTATTATTCGTTTGGCGCGATACGGTTTTTAATTTAGGTACGTCTCGAAATCAACGCGTTGAACTCGACTACTCGAGAGTAAATTCGTCGACGAAAAAAAAAAAAATAATATTAAACATGAAAAATAGTAACAAGTTTATCACGCGCGCACGGATAGGTTGTCGTTTTATTTTAGAAAATAGACTACATGTAAAAAAAATCTCTACATTGCATCCAACACACATCACTCACGCGTTTTTATTCCGTTTGGTGTGAAAATTATCTCGCGTGAAATGTCAAACGTACACGACAACACCGGGCGGCACTGTAAAAAGACGATGTAAAATAACAATAAAAAATAAAAACTAACGTTACACCGTGATTTCCGGGGCTAACGAGAAGACGAAATTGCATTATATTCCAGTTTTTGATTGCCTGCTTTGGTAACCGAATCGCAGTCAGCGTGTTCGCCGTAAAATCGACGGTTTTAAGACCGAATCGCTTTACGATGACGTGAAAGTAATGACGCGTTAAAAATAGTCTCCCCCAGCACGGATTTTCCTCTGGGCCGTTTCGGTAGTATCGGACATTTGTACGTCAATTACGAAACGAACGTCCCCTGAAATTATTGCGGTACCGATGACGATGAATCCAAGTCCGAAACGATACCCACAAATCTCAAAATGCATTATTTCTAAGATAAACGTTCGTTTACAGATTTAATGCGTTCGGGTGTAAAGTTTTCGTATTGAGCTCTATATGTTGTATAGTGTGCCGAAAGAAGTCACGTATCACGGTTATTAAAATATAATTTTTTTTATTCGGCCAACCAAACGAATGAATATTTCGAAATCCGCCGATTGATTTCCGATGCACTAAACAAATGCTAAAATGTTCTCGTCGATCAGTTACTGACCAGTTTTGCATTTATGTGACTGTCATTTAAACTTCGTTCTCAGAATACTCGGTTGACAAAAAAATGTATAATCGTCGACCAATAATTTATTTCCTGCGATTGGACCGCGATTAGTTTTTGTAAAAAAAATCCATAGAAATCGGCCGATGATAATAATAACAATAATATCATGGTCGTGACGAAACCTATGTCATCTGAAAAATCAAAATTATTTCCCATTGTAAAAGTATAACTGTCAAAGTGTCAACTAACAAAAGCACTATAATCGACAATACGCGTAAGTATTATATGATTAAAACAAAAATGATTATCATTAGTCAAAAACTGTTTATCGTACGATTCGCACGCGTTTCCTCAGTGACCGAACATCAGTAATCACTCTCTTACCGACTCGAAATTGGCGATCATACAAAATTCACTAAACTGTTTACTAGAAAGAGTAACTTGGTTACAGTAACCAACTCGCAAACATATTGTCAGTAAATATAGTTTTGGTACTCGCGATGTCCACGCCAAAACACTCATATAATTATTATAGTTTCTAATAATCCGTGTTTATAATTCATATCATAATCATGAATTCGTTAAAAGTTAATAAACGAGAGAACGAAAGGACGGACATATTCCGTTCGTGGATGCAGCCAATGTTCTGCGTGTTAAGTTGAGAAGATAGTAGGGGGGAATTCGACTGTATGTATGTAAGCAACGATATACCATTGCTAACGAAAAACAATTCCGAGCGGAGTTCAGTTTATAGTGTTGCTTTGTCAACAATATATTTATATATGCCATATTATGGTAAAATAATTACAATTTTATGTTTTCTTCGATAATACATGTTTAATATCGTACCAATTTTTCCGTTTTCCCGTGTTTTTCTCGGTTTTACACATTTATTGGTAAAACTCCTGGGGAAAATCGAAAAATGGCCTCTTTGAATTACTTCCCCAGTCAGATTTTCTTTTAGAAAAAGTGCTATTATTGTAAACCGGAGCAAGATTTCTGGTAGAAAAGTTGTCTGTAAATAATAATAAAAAAAAAATAATGATAAAGATCTTTGTAAAACCATGAACTTCTTCATTTCACTCAGAAACTAAAACATATTTTCGGACTATTTTTCAGAATTTTCAAAAGTACGGTTTATTGTTTAATGTATTTATATTAATAATTATTTTAACTATAGAAACGTTTATATCAAATTTATATTATAATTTATTTTAGGCCGATAATGTCTCGATTCTCCCGTCACAAATTGATTTTTCGTCTTATTTTTATCCAAATGGCTAAACTTAAATTCAGTATTGATTGAAGTTACAATATATATGTTTTGGACCTCCTCTCCCGTCGAAAATAATTCTGAATTCGACGTTGTTCGACGACATCTTATTTTAAAAACTATCCGTTATAATAGTAATTAGACAATATTTAGAAACGCATTAATTGCCCGGTGTGGCGGTATTGGCTCGTCCATTTTATTATTTATTTATTTTTTTTTTTTGTTAAAGCATACCATCTGTTACGTCAACAATAGTAAAATTGGGTATCTACTGTTTTTTTTTTTTAACATACGACTAATCGAGTAATTATTTCGTTCGATATTCGATTTTAAGTATAATATAGGTATAAGTATAATTGTGCACATCGTATCTATAACTTTTCTCGAACCTATTGTATAATATAACATAGTAATAAACCGTACAATTGACGATAAAAAATAAATATATTTTATACTCGTGGTATTATAGTCTTACATAATATTGTTACATATATAATTACATTAAAAAATAAGGCAGTCCGTTACGGGTGTTTTATGCATCGTCGCTACTATATTATACTAAATATACTCTATAGTGCTAGTTATAGTTAGGCTACTGTTGTAGTTGAGAATTTAGGAATGTAGAGGGGAAATTTATGGTATATCTGTACGCAACCATCATTAACCATTACTTACGAAAAACGATTCCTATCGGAATTCGGTTAATAGTGTTATTTTATCAACAATATAAATATATATATCATATTACAATAAAATAATTACATATGCATTATGTATGTTTTATTTAATAATATTCGTTTAATATTATATCTATTTTTCCGTTTTTCCCATTTATTGGCAAATAAAAAAAATTACCTCCCTAAAGTACTACTCTAGTCGGATTTCCTTCAGAAAACGTGCCGTCTTTTTAAATCGGATCAAAATTGCTGGTAGAAAAGTTGTCCATGGAAAAAAAATAAATATCACTGTAAAACCAATACATTCCTCGCTCTTCTCAGTATCTAAAATATATACATGTGTTTTTTCGGGGCTAAAATAGTTTTATCCACATTAATATTTCCAATAACTAAAAATATTTATTTTTTTAAAAGCCAGCATTTTTTCAAAAATCGTACATCGTCTAAAAAATGTTACTATTGAAGTTTTTCGTTCTAAGAATATTTTTCACCGAATTACGAGAAGAAAACAAAATCGAAACTTTTTTTGTCATTTTCTTAATTATATAGAAAACTACAAGAAAAAAAAACCGACTTCTCCGATTCACTGACTAGAAAAAATTTTAAAAATATAATTGTACAGACCAAAAAGCAAATACTCATCGTAATAGTAAAACCAGAAAATCGATAAGATACATTAAAAATTATTGTTCTATTAGAATTAGACGTTTAAAGATTGGTTTGTCAAATTTTCTCCTAAAATAGAGACTTTTGCTCTTGTATTGTATCTATTATACGATTATTATGTTTATATATAAATTACATATAAGTATATATTTTTTTTAACATTTGGACACATTTCGTGGCATCCTTTGACCAAAAGAGCTCAAACTCAAGAGTTTTTTTTACATATGGATTAAAGTAATAAAATTTATATTGAATTTTTGTACGAATACTGTTACGAGAGGAGGGCGTGTTTTAGATTTTTATACCACTAAAGATTATCTAAATGCAGCCAAGGATACGACGTATTGTATATGCACGGTATAAATATCAAGGATGTGTCTTTTAGTGGTTTCAACATTTAGCTCCTTTTCTAACCTTTGTATACTCAGATTTCTCGTTTTTACTGAAAATGTCGTATTTTCAATATCCTTACAGACTCTTTAAAGTAAGTAACTTTGTTAAAACGTGTATACATGAATAGAACTGTTGTCGAAGATTTGCCATTAGAATTGTTGAACTTTCGACCCTCTATCCTATTGTCTATTTATATTGTAACCGAACTTTTAACAAATACTTTATTTATTTTGATAAAACTTTGATATGGCAAAAATTCAACTGTGGGAAATTGTCAACATTTTTTTTCGTTAGCGTTAAACTATAATAATGTTACAAATAATTTAAAGGTTTTACGGATTGTATTATACCTATATACCTAAATGTGCAATAGAAATATGAAGATTGTCGTTTTATTAAGAATTATTGTCTACTGTTTAATACGGTTAATGTGAAAACTAAACGAAAACTCACCGACGAAAAGTATCGGCGTGATACCGTACAAAGGTAAATCACCATCATAATATTATTGTAATATATGGCCGCGGTGCAGGAAAACTAGGAAAGCTTATTATTTTAAGCAGTTGTGGGAAACCACTGGGAAAACACTTTTTGTTAAGGAGCACCTAAATAGTAGGTAAACGGGATAAGCGTGAGGACAATTTGAACAAGCAACGAGCAGATATATTGTCCGGTCCGTTTGAAAATGTATTTTTCAATAAATTTAGAGCATACGACAGGACACCGTAAAGTGAAAAAGTTATGTCGGAAGGGAGATCGTGAGGTACCTGGGGAGGACGTTGATAAAATAATAGGCGGATTGAAAGTCGACGAAAAAAATGTACTGAACACGTAATATTATTATTTAACGAGTATTAAATAGACGGTTACTTATGATATTAGTATTCTGTATACGGCCGAGTTTGCTGAAAGTATAAACAGATAACAAACAGTTAAAAAGATTTATTTGGCTACGCATATCGTTTCTCGCACTCGTCTTCTTCGCACCGCGGTCGACCGAGGCGTTGAGAGAAATATAATATTTTAAACCAGTATTTGATTTTTTTTTTTTTTTTTCGTTCTTTTCCGGCCTATTACATGCGTTTGTTTTAAATTCAGCAATACTCGTGTGTGTTTTAAACCGTATGGTTCGTTTAACTTCGTATTGGGGTTCTTTACCGATTATTAGGTAATTTTTTACACTGCTATGTTTTGCTGTGGTCGTCTATTGTTCCAGATTGAAACCTATATTGAAATATATATAATATATGTAAGAAGACTGTTAACGGGCAACAGACAGTTTCCTAAATTCAGTGGCGTTAAACCCACAAATTATTTTTTGACGGTCAATTTTTTAAAGTTTAAATAAAATCATTAAAATATAGGCGTTTTATGGTTGGTTGGTTGGTAGAACGTGGTTTACTTCCGATGTGCAGCTATTTTATCGTGATAGGTTTTGGGCGATTTGTTTTGGTACTATCTAGCAAGAGAACAAAAAACTGCNTTTGTCAAAGAAATCTCAGTTATATCCATGGGTCTTTAAGTTCGTGACAGACATTACAGAAGGGATTCAACCCTTCTCTCTCACCGAGCTTTCTTATTTAATAGTAAGGGGCAATTGGTATACAAGTGTCTTTGAGGATACTAAGTCATAATAGACACGCCTTACATATGGTTGGTTGGTTGGTAGAACGTGGTTTACTTCCGATGTGCAGCTGTTTTATCGTGATAGGTTTTGGGCGATTTGTTTTGGTACTATCTAGCAAGAGAACAAAAAACTGCACAAACACTGATTCGTTTCGCTAAAAACACAAATTGTCACATCTTCCTTCTAGGCATTTGATCTCATTTGGATCTCAATTAGAATCCGACTAGAAATTTAGGATCAAACAAATCCACGCAAAACAATAATAATTTGTTATGCATTACAATATTATCGCGACTAATGTAATAATACCTAAAACAAGATCACCGAAATTAACGCATTAACAAGGATACATCAATTGTATATATAAACAGTCAGTTTGGCGTATTTTTAGACGTATGTGATTTATATCTACCATGGATTCGTCATACAGTACATGCCATCCTGGTATATTCACTTCCGGTTGTAAAAAAAAACCCTTCAAAGCTTATTTTCGTACCTGTTTTTTAACGTAAAAAATAAACGAATTTTACTAACTATGTGTCAGAACGGATGACACACGACGACGTTTTTGTCGTTGTAAACGTACATAATGTATTAATTGAATGCCATCGGACATTTTATCATTAACAGCTGCAATTGAAATATTATTTCATTTAGGCTGTGAAAAAAAATAATAAAAAGCAAACGAGCTTCAACTCAAGGCCGGATTAAAGTTCGAATGATGGGACCCTGTGTCGAACTTGAAACGGGTCTTTTTGTTATTATTATTTGTACGTGCCTATATATTTGTGCTATACATATTTCTAGATAAATGAAACAAACGTTATCTGAGCCGTTATTCGAGATAAATAATTAAACCATCTAGATACATTTATCTATTTATTAGAAATAATAGGTAACATTTTTAATTTACATCAATGCTTTGTTTGATAAATAAATTATTAAGTTATATCAATTACAAAAATCTGATACATTTTTGCTACTTATGATAGCCAACAAACGAAATCGCCGTTTTATTTTGTCTGCATAAAAAGTTTACCTTTATCTAAATTGTTAAATTGTTATGTATCTCATTTATCATAAACGAAGACACAATAAACCCGTTAGCCCGGGAACCATGGACTCTCTGGCTCCCCCCCTTAACCGAGAATTCCTTTGTCGTTTCGTTTGAAAAAGAAAAATGACGTTGTCCTTGTAAAAATACTATATACAAGTACACTGTATACCTATAACTGTTCTAAAAAAAAGTATGACGGCTCTCCCACCGCGTACATTCAAAATCAAAACAATCGTAAAAATACTACAATAACATTCAAGTACACCGTGAAGTAATTGGAGGCTATTAAGTCGAATTGCGCGTATAATAATAATTATATTGTAATTTCGCGCAAAACGTCTAAAATTGTATCGTTATACGCGCGAATAGAACGCACGGTAGTAAAACAAAGTCGTTAACACTAATAATAATTTTACAGTATGTGTAACTCGTATTCACTTACATATTATTATTATTATTATTATTTGTTGGTCTATTTTCTATTAATTTATATTTTACGTATAATTCGAAGGGAAAACAAAATCGGAATAATATACGCCAAGAATTTAAACTACTGCGTTTCAATATTGCGTATACACTATACACATATAATATTATTATAAAGTTTTCTAAAGTTTTTCAAAAATGTTCCGTTTTTTTTTTTTTTTCTGTCCAATAGTGTATTAAAATTTTTGGTATGGTTTTCGCAAAAATGTAAATCATACGTATCAGTGTTCGGTGTTGGTCGTTCTACAAAACATGATATAATTACTTTTATCACCATTGCATTTAACCGAATATATTATAACATAGGCATAAGTGACGTAGCTGGAGATTTAAGCGTCCCGGAGCAAGTTCAAATTGTTCAACTCCGCGCCCTAATTGTTGGTACTTATAGTTGACATTTTTCTATTTTGATATTTACCATAGAAGTACTTAAAAATCAAAAAAGGCCAAGCTCAAAAAGAAAAAGATATCGTGCTTAAAACAAAAAGAAGACGACCTTTAATCGCATGGATATCGATATTTGCTAAGATTTTGGTTTCGTCGATTCCATCGATTACCAGCATTTAATAGCGATTCTACGGCAAACCGGGTTCAAGGGTAAAACGTATTAATCTTCTTCTCGATATAGTTATTATATGAGTTATAGACGGATGCATAAGGTATAGATTACTTATTGGGGGGAGGGAGTAGTTCTGAATATTTGTAATAGGAGTGAATCGGGAGTTAAAAAGTAGTTTCGAACCACTAGTAGTAGCTGCAGTAGTTTCGAAATAATGGTATCCTCCATACTGCCCCACCTCTTAGCTATGCCCCTGCCTGTAGCTATAATTATTAATCGACACGAGTATTATTATCACTTAGTAAATATTTTTCAAACAATGTGACTAACACCGTTCGTCGGGCGGACGAAACGGCGGGTGTTCGGCAAAAATAAAACAATTCAATATTGTTATTATTTCGTCCAAACACTCGTCCAGTCGTCTCGTGCCGGTCACTCCGACCAACTATAGCAATCTGTCCACGAGATATCGGCGGTTATTTTACAATACGCACGATTAGTGTGACATCATATTATTTGATTGCAATCATTATCAAGTACGATTGGACACAAACAATTAAAAATGCGCATGTAAAAATATGAGATGCAAAGTAACTTAAGATTAGTTTTATTCTACATTTCAAGTATTTAAATACTCATTTTATCGCGAAAAATCTCATTTGAGTATTTATTTTATTATTAATAATAGCCAAATCTTAGTAGGTACGTAGGTACTCGTACTTCAGTACAACATGAGTGCGTTTAAAAATATATCATGCGTGTTTTTAACGGTAAAATAATTAAAACGTTTGGATCCGAACGATCAAATCATTACTGACAACATACAGTCTGATACGAAGAGCGTGACGTAAACACCAATCAAGCGTATTTGTTTTCTTCGATTTAATCACGAGCTACCCACTACTGTACCCACTAGTTACTATAGTATTATAGTGTTACACTCGCTGCTCGCGCGACACATTTACGCGGACGAACCCGTTAGAAACGACGCGCCGCGCGTTCACCTCCCGTACACAGAGGGATCCCTCGCATTGATAATAATTATTATCACCGTAAGACGGAGATTGTCGTCGTCGTCGTCGTCGTCGTCGTTGTCGCCGTCGGTGGGATCCTCCGCCGCTGGCCCGAATCCAACGAGAGGACGAATAATGAATACACACTCGCCCTCGCCTTCACCCTCCACCCTCTCCCTCCCCCCCCATCCTCCTCCCGCGTCCCGGTAGTACGCTACACACGACTATTTTGGTATACACGGTTACACGTGGCCACGACCGACACACCGTGACGACCGTAAAGGAGAACCGACACGAGAGCGACATGCACTGGGGACGTCGCCCTCTAACGACTGAAATGCGCGACGGGACGCCGCGACCCGCGACCGCAATCACTCGTCTGAGGATCGCTAGCAGATAATAAAGAACGGATACGCCGTAACGAACGCACGGCTACGCGAGGGACACGGAGACACGGAGATACTGCCCCGTAGCCCCTCTCTCTAGCCGCCGAAAGTATTTTGAGGTTATGACCAAACAAAATGCTATTCCATGATTCGTGAACGGCCGCTGTAATTTCAAGATCATCACGACAATTCCGAATCTTCTGTTGCGATGTTATTGTTGAAAAGAAATTCTTCGCGGCTATTAGTTATTATCAAAATAAAAAATATTTTAACAACATATGTTCCCGGCCGGGGAGGCGCAGAGTCGACAGTCTATCGTTCTCTCTCTCTCGTTCCGGAATACGGCCGTCGACGGTCCGCGCGCCGTTAGTACGCGAGCAGCGTACTGTAAACTTCACGTTTTCCACTATCGGGCGACCACTCCGATCGCGTTGTCGAAACGAGACCGCCCGATAGCGCGCTATGTTTCCGCGGACGATTTTATCACGCGGTCTCCGGCCGTTTGCGCGACGTAATATTTGAATGATAAATTACGACGCGAGTTAAGACGCGTTCGCCGTGAATACCAGACACCCGGTAATTGCGCGGCCAGAGACCCGGCCGCGCAACGTTGGCTCGTGTCCAACGCGAGGACGAACAGTACCGTCACTAAATCGCTGTCGGGTCGGTCGTGTAGAGTGTTCCGCCGTGCGGTTTCGTATGTTATGTTGTAACGCTGCGCCGCGAGGAGTAGGGGTGGGGAGGGGAGACTGGAAGACATTGGCCGACGACCGGAACGGCGCGACGATCGGGGACCGCGTGCCCCGAAAAGCTGTCCGCAGAACCGGAAGAAGTGTACGCATTACGGTCGACGGATATTGCGCGCGATGTTTGAATACCGTCATCGCAGTTTCGGCGATTGCCTGTCCGCTGTTATGATCGGCGCCATTGCTTTCAACGTAGCGCGATTCATTTCGGCCGCGCCGAATTCGTTTTTATTTTTTTTTTTTTACAAATATAGCACAAAATTCGCTTTTGTTCAAAATTGATGCGCTATTTTTTCGACTTGATAAACGCAACTATTTCCAATTTATTTTCGTTTCCGTCAAATTACGCACACCCATTACTTAAATAAATCATTCCGTTCTATAAATAAATAATAATAATAATAATAATAAAAATATTTCGATATTTGATATTTCCCGTTTATGAATAGGCACCAAGAATTTATTTACGTTTGACGTTTCCGGTAAGAGGAAAAGAAACAATTATATATTTACCAGTGGCGTAACTATCGGGTGGCGTGACGGGCAATCAGCCGTGGGCCCGTGATATTTAGTGGCCCCAAATCAGGGCCCGGGGCATTATTGGACAAGCAAAGGCCTTTTGAAAAAGAACTTTTTTTTTTTTCTTATCGGCTTTTATACAATATTTTGTCACGGGTATTCGAAGTTCTAGTTACGCCAATGATATTTACATAATGTAACTCGTTCACAGTTTGTGAGTTTCAAATTTTATTTAACAACGTTTTATTATAAAAAAAAAAAACGTTTATTTTAGGTGAAAATGAAAATCACAAAACTATAAACTATTTTAAATTTCATTAAATTCACGATTTTATTTGGTAAAAACTAAAAAGAAGTGAAATTTCCAATGTTTTTTAAGACAAATTTAATATTATCACGTTATAATCTAGGCGTCTATCGAAATAAAGCCATTCGGCAGCAGTATCGCTACAATAAAAGGTGGCGCGCTATACTTTCAATCGCCGATTATATTATTTTATTTACGAGTGTATACGAAAAAAAAGTCGACAATTCTCTCCGAGAAACAAACACCGTCCGCCATGTCCAGAAGACGCCGACGAATGCGTGGCGACCGGAACTCGTAATCTCCGCTGTACGACCTCGTATATGGTACGGTCGTAATCATATTTCAACACACATGGTACGAACGATGAGCATTTTTACGTATCGGAAACTGTTTTTGTTTTTTTTATTGTCATTTACACCGTTTCCTGAACTCGTATAATAATCGTTTTTAAACGTCCGTATGGTTACTAAATATTTGGATATCTGTGTGCGCGCGCGCGTGTGTGTAAAATATGTATATAATACCTAGAGTAATATTATACTCACACCAGCCGAATTCCGTGTGTGTATTTTCGTATGAAGCGGCACGTTTTACACAGAGCCGCCCCCACATGTGGCTCTGGTGTACCGAAACGGCTGCTGCGTTGACACACGCATATATAGACGACTCTATGCGCTGTTCCGAACAAAAAAACCAAAAAAATAATTAATAACAAATAAACACGAAAATAAAAAACGGAATTAGAATAAAATATAGCGTCGGAAGTTCTTCGGGGAAACAATAATTGCATCTACGGACTCGCACAGAGACACGGTCTCAACCGAGTGAATTGATAAGAAACAATTATTGTATCACGGTATTACGGTATACAATTACTTAATATGGAGCGGAAACATGGCCATTAAGAAAAACCGAGCAATGGAAACTGATTGCAGGCGTTGTGAGAAGAAAAACTCTACGGATAATTTTTGGATCAGTGAAACAGAATGAAACCGGTGAACGGAAATTAAGAAAAACGATTTAAGGGGTTTTTTTTTTTTGTAGAAATCGGAACTGTGAGCTGAACACGCTTGGTGAGGTCAGCGTGTACGCGTGGTCGTGGAAGAGATACCGGTAGATATAAGGCACCCCTTGAAAGGCTCCGTTCGAAATGGAAATACATGACGGGGGGAGGGGGATGCGCGGAATCCCTCGGGCTTATATCGCACTTCGCGTAGCAGCCTCAAGGGCGATGGGTGAATCCTTAAAGAGCCCGAGCGATTTGCACCGTTAAAACACTTTTAACGATTTCTAGCTCGTGTGATTAATAAAAAGGTATCGATGATATTCAGCAACGCGATTGCTATATCGACAATATAATGTTGCACAATAAAAGCAATGTGTGTATATAATTTTTTTTTTTTTTAAAAAAACGACATATACGTATACAAAATTGTTCACACACACACACACACGGATCGTTTTGTGTGGGAACACTGAAGATTTCAGTTTTGAACATAATTTTTATATAATAACACGCGTATATTATAAGTATAAAGGTGTTAACGCAGTATAATAAAAAGCCATCTGTACACAATGAGAAACAGATGTAGAGGCAGAAGTACATAATACGCATGCAACAACGGTTATGAAAATAATAATATAATGTTCATAAAAAAAAAAATATATATACATATATATATATAGACATAAAAAATAATCCGCCCTCTGTCCTCGTTATCTGTCTTGGGTACGAAACGAAGTTCATTACCATTACGTGCATGTCGTGCGATCAAAATACACTTGCACGGTTTTCACGGATACTAATATATCTCCTAAACGCGCTCCATATTTCGTCCGGTTGGTCTGGTCAGGAAATTTACATCCGCGGACACTGGCGGTCCGATTAAAAGTACAGGGTAATTAGACGTGTGTACACTGGCATACCTGTATTATAGGTTTTACATCAAATCGCTGAAATTAACTGAGCAAGTGGGACGCGTGGAAACACTAGAGCCGAATCGTAGAGAAAAAGGGCGATGCGCGAAGATGCGAATTGTGACCGTGTTATTATTGTTGAGTAGCGTGCATCGCGAATCGATAACGATTTCAGACGTGTTATTCGGATGACGGAGGTTCGAGAGAAACCGACCAAAGGATACGTTATAATGCAAGGCGTACGCAGCGACAGGTGTTGCTGAGGTGGATCCCCGATTCGTTTTACGGAGCGCCGCGGAGAAGACATTTTTTTTTTAAAATTCCACGGACGTGACTGTTTTGTAATAACTGTAGTCGTGATACGGCGGAACGCACACAAAGGGTTTCGCGACCTCGACGTTAAAGGCGACGGGAGCCAAACGTTCGTTTTGCACGCGTTCGGGCTTCGGTTGACGTTTGGCGAGAAATTGCATATTGTTGGATTGCCGCGTTTAAACGGTGCGATCGGGCGTACGATAAAATGCACACTTTCAGTTATTTGTTCGGGCATCGATTATTGCCGCATAAACCGTCGAAACGAAAACACATCAACGCGTTCGTTCCGTGTGCGATTTTACGGGGACAGAACAATAATCGATGTTTAATAACAGTTATAAAAAACGAAAACCGTCGTTGTTGTACGTCTTGTTTACCATATTAGTAATTTTTATTTTCGCTTTATTACCCACTGTGTAAACAACAGCCCATAAATGTTTTCGCAACACATTGCCAACATTTTTGTACGTTTCCTAAACTAACGCATTGTTCCGTAGCAGCCCGTATATCTGTCATCGTCCGCGTCCACTGCGGGGGCTCTTAAAATAATTGTACCGAAACCAATAATCACACGCGGCAACGTTTTCCTATTGCACTTACGGGTTTTCGGATGGTTTTACCTATGCATTTACCCGAGTGACGAAACGCTAATTTTAATAATGCAATAAGTGGAAAAACGGAGCGAGGAGGAATTTGTATTAGTTTCACAGTGATTGTGTGCTAATTTATTTTTATTGTTTGTAGTGTCTGTATAAATAACTTTTCTACCAGAAATCTTGTTCCAATGAAAAAAAAAAAAACCATTTTTAATGCGTTTTTTTTAATGTAGTCAGTGCACTAAGAAAGACATTATTTTAATTTCCCTTGCAGTTTTCCCAATAATAGGAAAAAAATCGAGCAAAATATAAACGTTACGAATAACGAGAAAATGTATACGGTTTTATTATTTTTGATTTTCTATTTTAGTAACTGGGTTAAAAATAACCATAGACATCTACAATTTTCACGGAATACTCATATTCGCAATCTGTTCTAGACGTGATCCAGTATAGTATTTTGTGAAAATTTCAGGTCTCTTCGGTTATTTGGTACCAAATTATAATAATAAAAAACGGACATACTTTGCACAATGGGTAGGCCACTGTTATGGGTGAGAAGTTGGGAGGATAGAGGAGAAATTAAATGTATATCTGTATGCAAAAATAAATCATTGCTAACGAAAACTATTCAGAGCAAAGTTCGGTTATATATGTTTCGAAAGGTCGTAAAATTTACTATTTTGGTTAAAATTTGATTTTAAAATTCTTATTTAAAAAAAAAATAACAATACATTACACTAATTTTATTTTTTTAACCACTAACTTACGATTGATAATGAATCTCCTGTCAAATTTTCAAGCATTTCTGTTTAGTCCAGTAATTTTATCCACAGAGTACCTACCAAATAAAAATTACTTACAAAACTCGAAAAATTAAAATGTCTATAAATAGCTTAAAAATGGCTTAAATGTTTTGAAAAATTTACCGCGTTTAGAAAAAGCAAATATAAGTTTTCTGACAGTCCCTACGGATATTTTTAACTAAATTTAAAATAAAAAAAATATTTTCATAAATTTCCTAGTATGTATTTTTCATTTTTCCTTGATTATTTAAAAAACTACATTAAAAATCAACAAAACGATTTTCTTGGTCTCCAACTAGATTAAAAATGGAACGAAAATGTCTTTTGTTTTTTTCTATTGGAATAATATTTTTTATAGAGAACATAAGCTGTACAAATTTAATATAAATGCGTTGGAAATTTAAAAAAAAAAATTGTATTTTTGTCTTTTTTGGTTTTTTCCCAATTATCTTGAAAAATATTGTAGAAATCAAAAAACGACTTTCTTTGTGAAGGGCTAAATATTAAAAGGAACAAAATCGATCTTTTATTGTTTTTCGAGCAATATATCTGGTAGAAAATATTAAGAACAAAAATTAAAAACAATGAATTCGGTAACGCTATATCGCGTCACGCCGTAAATATTTGCTGTTTTACTTATACATTTTTTTCGAGTTTTTTCCAATTCTTTCGAAAACATTTTGGAAAATTAATAAGTGACGTCTGTCATACACCAATTAGACATAATTTTCTTTTCAGAAAAATGGTTAGGTGTACATCAGAGCAAGGTTTATTTTCGGAAAGTTTTTTACAGACAGAAAATAAAAATCATAGTATACTCCTTCGCCACGCTCCGAATCTAAAAATGGTTATAACATTATTACATTTGTGTATATTTGGTGGTATATACACAAATTGCATGTTTTTTAATAATAATTATTATTGCATTCGCGGGTAAACTATACAAGTTTTCGAACCCTATGGGACTTCAGTCGATAATGTGCAGTTTTTATTACAATATGTAAATGAACTTTTAAAAAGAAGGAAATACTTCGCACGTGGGTGCAGCCACTGTTGTAGATGGAAAGTTGGAATTTCATCTATATCTGTAAACAACGATAAACCATTGCTAACGAAAAGACGATTCTGAGCGGAGTTCGGTTGATAGCGATGCTTAAGTGTGGAACAAAGAAATATAATATAAAGATTAACAGTTAAAAGAATGTGCTGAAATCTAAGTTTATTTTATTTTAATTTAGCTCAGTCTATAGTATTGCTTTTTCAACATTGTGTGTTTCCATGACAACAATTTTTGTTTAAAAAAAATTTTTTTTAACAATAAAAACGGTGGCTAATGACAACCTTATTTTTAATAATATTTTCGTCTAAAATCTTTGAGCATTTTTACGGTGCAAAAAAGGTTTCGTGAACATAAATCAGATGATAAATGTTGATTAATTTTTCCCAATTTTTATAAAAAAACCTTTTTGATCAATCAAAAATCGACTTTCTCAACGCATCTAGGCATTTTCCGATCGGATCGAGTTTCCTGGGATAAAAATGGTTTGCAGATTCGAGAAAAAAAAAATACGCGTACCCAATAGGATAATAAAATTTCTACGGTAAACGTCTAATGAAAAAAAATAAAATAAACGAATCGAGCGTAGGACGATCGCCACTGTTTGCGCGGCACGGCGGTGCGACGCAACGGGTCTTCCGCCGCGTTTTTCGCGACGCGCTAACGGCTCGCCACCGCGGACAACGTCCGTTCATTGTGTTATTCGGGGCGTTGTATTGTTGCGTGTGCCTGTTGCGTTGCGCACGCCGCGGCGCTCGGTAACCGCGCGGTTCGGGAACGGGTCCAACGTTTGTTTATTGGGAAAAATCAATAGTCCCGGGGACGGGACCGTTGCGGCAACAATATTCGCGTAGGTCGGGCGGGCCCGCGGACGAAATATCCCCGCGCGCGCCGCGTCGCGATACGGCAGTTCGTTTTTATTATTTTCGACGTCCGATCGGAACGAAAAACCGACGTTTACGGCCATCCGGTCGGTAAACAAACTCGGCGCGGCCGCGCGATGCGTTTTCCGATAATCGTAAAAACAACGTAACGGCCGTTACGCCATCCGTACAGCGCCGGCGGTCGATTCGAATTTAATCGATCGGCACGGGCGAACAGAAACGACACGGAGCGTGGACCGCGCGATTTGTCGGCGCGTCCGTTTTCACGCGCGCGGTAAAGCGATCCGCTCGGAGGCCGTATTTTTACTTTCCGCTTTTACCCGGGGGGGGGGGGGGGGGTCGCGGGCCAGGTTCCAGCCGCACGCGCGACTAGTGCCCGAACTATACCGGGGGCCGCCGGAATTGTGGTAGCGCGCGCAAACCCGCGGGGCCACGCTCCCGCAACCCCAGATACCAACGTGACTCTGACCTTAAATTCATAATCACGATAACCGTTCTCAAATGTACCGTGAAAACATATGCACGCCAGTGTAATACACAGTGATTTACTCGGCTGGAAACGCTCGTTATCTCGGAAAGTGTTAACGTTTTCAGGAATTTGTTTTAAAGAATATTTGAAAAATTAACAACCAGCTCTATAATTTTACACTTGTATTGTTTTTTTGTCACCCTTATTTTTTGGGGTAAAACCACCACATCTACTTTTGATTTTAAAATGGCAACTTATATTAATAATGCATACAAACAGGTGGAGTATTGAAGTTGAAATAACTAGAGTAAGATGAGTTTTGGATTTTTTTTTTTTTTAACCGAATCGACTTTCAAAAGTTGTACTCGACCAACCTTCTAAACTAAACATTAATTCCTTTGCACAATATACTTTAGTGTCACGATGGCAATTTATTTTGGTAAATTCGAAACGCGGATATTCTTGTCGGAAATATATGGTACTTGAATATATTTAGTTATAACATTTATTAATTTTTTTTTTTCGAAATATAAAAGTGTCGCGTGTACACGAGTACCAAAAAAAAAAAAAAAAATAAATAATAAATAAATACAAATGTATACATATTTGCCGAATCGAGTCGATATTACCAACTCGACCAACGCTTGATATACGCTATCCAGTGTTAATCAATTGGGTCGACACGAATTGAGCGGCTTTTGTCTGACGTAAAAATATCTTGTTGATGTGTGCGATAGTTTAGCGGTGTTGATAAAACGAAATATTTTTCCAGATACGAAAAACGAAATGAACGACGGGACGGAAACCGATTACCGGGCGGTTAAGAAGACCAAATACGCGGTGATTATGTTCATTCACGGCGAGTCGTTCGAGTGGAACTCTGGCAACCCATACGACGGCTCCGTGCTAGCTAGCTACGGCAAAGTTATTTTTATCACGATCAACTATCGCGTGGGCGTTTTAGGTGAGTATTATTTTTCCGTATGTCACACCTGACACGTGAGCGTCTATATCATATATATGTATGTATATATATGTATACATATGTTATGCCCCATCGGCGAATCTGCCCAATTCATGAAAAATTACGTTATATTTATACTTTTCGTTCATTTCACGCTGTTAGTTTTAACGTTAGAATGCATTTTCTCATTGTCATACGCGTAAGGGTAAGACCATGTCTATATTAATTTCGCGTTGGCTTTTTTTCTCGGTGTTTTAGGTTTTTTAACGAGTCACGGCGATTTTCAGTTCATTATATTTCACATATTCGTAACCAACCTGAAAATATGAAACATTTTCTGTAGGTTTGACAACAGATAAATACACCCTAATGTTAAAACTAATAACCCAAAATGAACGAAAAGTATAAATACAACGTAATTTCATGAATTGGGCAATTTTACCGATAGTGTGTACACAGTATTGACCGCGGTATAGTCGATTGTCGAACATATTTTAGATTCCGAGTGGAGCTTGTAGCTTCTTTTTATCTGTGAGCAACTTTTCTACCAGGAGACTTGCTCAGATTTTTAAGTGTAGCACCTTTTCTGAAAAAAAATCGGTCTGGGGAGATAGTTTAAAGAAGTCATTTGTTTGGTTTTCTCATCAAATTTAAAAAACCGGGATGAACCATAGGAAAACTTTGGAAAACTGGGAAAATCCGTACAACATTTAACAAATATTATTAAATAAAATGTATAAAACGACATATATGTGTATATTGTCGACAAAGCATCACTATCAACTGAACTCCGCTCAAGTTCATTTTTTCGTAAGCAATGGTTTATATCGTTGTTTACAGGTATATATTAAGTTATCTATAACAGTGGCTGCGTCCATCATTATTATCTTGGAACGTTTTTTTCGTTACTCGTATGTACTACTGCATATTCTGCTCTCGTTCCTCGAGAAATTTTCTCGTATACCGAATAGTTCAGTTTTACCATTAAACATTGAGTCGCTATTGGATTTTTAAGATATTTTATCCGTTTCAAATCAAAGTACTTGATTCATATTTTGCGCCACCCATTCATCCCGAAAATATTTTCCAGACTGCTACACATAATCTTAGTATTATCGCAGTATTTGTCAATAAGACGGCTGAGTTAATGAGACAGAGCGGCACGAGAAGAATTAAAAACAAAATACGATATTAATAACTTTGAGATATGTAAGATTATAAATATTATACCACTATAATACCAGTACACAATAAAATCTCTTACCGTTTAAACAATTTAAAAAATCCCATGTATGTCGCTTTTGTGTAGTAACAGTATCATATAATTATTATCCGTAGTTAGTTTTGATTAAAGTTAATAATTATGTTTTATAGATACGGTTTATCAATAAAAAATAATTCATTTTGTAAACAGTATAATACTTTATTTCGTATTAACGTTCACATTTGATACTCGTTATAAAGTATGAATACAATAATGAAAATATTATTATTGAATCATTTGAATCTGATATCGAGTCAATTGCCCATTCCTCGGTAACCATTCCGGAAACACTAATATCATCAATACCATCAAAATAACACCACGTGCGCAAATTTGTCACCATATACATGCAGTGCGTTTGCTACAACAGCCTTTTTCAACATGGGGGTCGCGACCCACAAAGAGACCGCGAGTGATAGTTGGAGAGTCGCCAAAAACCATAAGTATCACGTATACTATAAATCGTAGTATTCAAGTTACATTAAACAATTTTTGAATGGTTCGCCTTACACGCGAAAAAAAACTATTAGAGGGTCGTGATTCGTGAAAAGCCGTAAAAACCACTGTGCTGCAACATACGAAAAAAGCCCTTGGTCGACCGTGTATATGGTGTATAAAGGCCGAGCTTATTTAACGTATTTAATTTATTAACGAATTAATTTTTTTCCACCTACTAGAAGAAGCAAGAGTCACGATTTCTCCGCAAATTATAAAACGAAAATAATATAATCGCTTCGTATAATATCGGTTACGGAAGATTTATTATACACCTATTTACAGAGTCATTATTTTTATCGTGAACCGGCAATTATCTCAGAGGATTTTAAGTGAATTTGATTTCTTTTTTTTTAATCATTATGGAATCGTTTATGCTTTATTTTAAAACGATTATTAACTGTTTATCCCTACTCTATAAACCTTAAATAAGTGCATACTTTTGATTTTAAAATTAGGGTAATAGATGGGCAATTTGTTACCTTTCTCTACTCCTCCGATCTAAACTTTAAACTGTTATAACTCTTAAACGGTAAATGTGATATTGTGTTATGCAAATCAAAATGTCTATACAAATATTCTCTATTCAAATCTGTGTTTAAAAAGGGGGGGTTCCTATATAAAAAACAAAAATATGTACTTATTTAAGATATATGGAGTAGGCGTAAAAAATTAAAAATGGTTTTAAAATAAAGCTTAAACGATTTCATAATGATTAGAAAAAACAGAAGTCAAATTCACTTAAAATCCTCCGAGATAATTGCTGGTTCACGATAAAAAAAACATCACCCTGTATACATTTTTTTTTTTTCTGAACCATATAGCCGCAGTTGTGTTGGGAGCGACCCAAAATAACTGTGCGTGTATTATATAGGTGAAACGGATCTATATAATATTATATTATACTTACTTATATATTACGTAGGTACGAATTTTGTTTAGGGTTTTTGAAGTCCAACGGCGGAGACATTCCGGCCAGTAATTTCGGCCTGTTGGATCAGATGGCCGCTTTGGAGTGGATCAAGAATAACATACAAGCTTTTGGCGGGAACCCAAATGCGGTCACGGTGATGGGACACGGTACCGGTGCGGCTTGCGCGAATTTCCTAATGATGGCGCCACCGGTCAATAACAATAGTGAGTGCAAGATTGATACCTATACCTACGTATTACGGCAACGTACTGTGTTTGTTGGAAAATTAATAATAATAATAATAACAATTAAAAAATTTAAAAAAACCGGTATTTTCGATACGATCGCTGTATCGGTGCCAAAAACTAATGTATAGGCACCTTTAATCACGACAGAATATCGATCGTTTCAATATAATACTATGTATGTTACAGATCTATTCCAAAGGGCCATACTGATGAGCGGTTCCGCGTTGTCCGATTGGGCGTTGGTGAAAAATCCCATTCTGAACACCATACAGGTCGGACAGTCGTTGAATTGCGGGCCCGGCGGAAACGAAAAATTCTTCGACTGTTTGCGGAGGAAACGGTTCACGGACTTACTGTCGATCAAAATGTACTTGCCGCCGTTTGTAACCGTGTTCGGGCCGATGGTCGACGGCGTGATGATCACCAACGAACCGTTGCCGCTGTTGAAAGAGCACAAGAATTTGATAAACAAGTACTTGACACGCGATCAAACACTATTTTTTTTTAAATTTCGTATAACGTTTTAAATTTATTGATTGTTCAGTTTTAAAATACTGGCCGGCGTAACGGAATACGAGAGTTACCACTTGTTGGACAGCGTGTCGCTAGCGCACGGTATGTTGGAAAACGAACAGCACAAAATGTTGTTGGACTATATGAAAGCCAAGTTCGAAGTAAATTACATAATTTTATTCATAATGCCCGCAATACTTACATTGAATCGATAAATACATTTGTACGTTTCGTTTCCAAAGCTATTTCCTGATCTTACATTAACGAACACCTTAACGCAGTACAACGAACGCGATCGAACGTGGTCGTCGTCCGGGGCCATAGAAAATCGAGATATTCTTTTGGAAATCCTCAGCGATGCCATGGTTGTAGCCCCTTTGATCCAACTTGCCGACATCCAATCGGAAGTTAATGATCACACGTTTTTCTATGTTTTTACTCATAAAAATGTTTTAAACGAATATGACGTGGTAAACCATTGATTATAAATAACAAGTTCTCGAATATAATTAAAATGATCCGTCTATATTGTGTTACCATTATGATTATTATTATATTGTAGGTAAGAAAAAGTATCAACGGGGAGGATTTACCATACGTTTTGGGCGTACCTTTGGGTGGTAATACTATCCACCTTAAAACTCAATATGATCAAAAGGAAAAAAGATTATCAGAAATGATTATGACTTATTGGAGCAATTTTGCTAAAACGGGGTAAATTTTTATTTTTATTAAAATGTACCTATATTATATTGTTGTGAACGCTAATTACACTAATTATTTTACGAATTTTATTTAGAGACCCAAATTTTTCAAAAAAATCGTACCAAAATGAATTGAAGGCGAGTGTAAGATGGCCAAAATATAACGTTGTAAATCGTGCTTATTTGGAACTAAGTTAGTAGATAATTATTATTGATTTAAAATATTCAATTTACTTACTTAATAGGACCTTTTTATATAGTTGTTATTTTAATTTATTTCAGATTTAACTAATCGAGTAAAAGGCAATTATAGAGCAAATAAATGTAAATTTTGGAACGTGGATCTTCCACAAAGGATAGAAGAAAAGCGACAGAAAGACGCTGAACAATCAAAAACATCGTATCCTACAATAACCGTAATACCAAAGGAGCCAACCCCTCCGTGGATTGAACCACACTTTACCCTACCCACCATACCTCCAGAAGACCCAATGATAATATCTAACGAATCCTTAGAAGATCTCAATCCCGGTGAAGAACCTTCGGCCGAACCATCCGACAAAAAAACTCAAGAAAACGTCGAAGCTTCGTCGTCCGTGGTCGTATCCCTTATTATAATTATTGGAATTCTTTTTCTATTGGTAAACATATGTGCGTTCGGAGGAATATATTACCAAAGGGATAAGCTGAGGGTTAGAGAACGGTTGTTTAATAACAGATTCCAGTGTAATGGTGCGAACACCAGTCGAACATTTGACGAAGATGACGACGACGTTTACATGAAAACCGAAGAACCAGAAATAGCAAATGTACACAAGTTCAATAAGACCCAAGCTTATGACTCAGTAGCGTTGGCTAGTGTCAAACCGGAAGCCATTGGCGGTAAACGATTAGGCAAGTGGACAGAAATATCTAGACAGAGAAGTAGCAGTTCGGTCACTATGGACCCACACACTAGGGTCAAGGAGTGGATAAATACGGAGATAATACAAAGGTATTCGCCGAGGATATTGCGAAGGCAGCGGAGGGAAGATAAAAAAAGACAATTGGTTTGTGCCGAAGATCCGTTGATTATGACACAAAAAGCGGTCGTTGCAGCGGACTCTAAAGCCGAGAAATCGAGAAACAAAGTAATCGATCATGCAAATAGTTTTAGGTACTTGAGTTTTTAATTTTAATATCGATTAAATCTTATGTACAGGTTTCGGTGGCTATTGATGCCACGCCGGCGGCTAGGACCATTAGCGTGTTAAAACAAACGCCAATAGAACTGACAAAGTCCATGGACACAATGGGACACCTGGAACGAGTGGAAATAAAACCGTCGTTGTCACTGGGCTCAATCAATAAGAAATTTTTGACCAGAAGTGATGCGTTAAATGAATCTGACGACATGTTGTCGTCGCAAGACACGTTGCACAAGAGTTCTACTAGTATTCAGTTGAAACCCGCAGCGAAGGAGAAGAGGCCCGGGATTAAGGTCACTCATGGGTATTCAAAATCAGAACCCGTAAAAAACAACCCGAAAGAACCTCTTTATAGCCAAGTTAGTCTACTAGTTTACGGACTTATACATTTTAACAAACTGTATTGGAATTCTAAACCTCAAAAAATTGTGTATAAATTTAATTGCATTTAAATCCCTTGAAACCTGAATAACATCATGATAATATATAACGTGGCGAGAAATAGAAAAATACCCATGAGCAGAAGAGCTCAGCCATGAGGAATTAATTTTCACCCACCTATTTTGTTTAATTGATATATTCTTTGTAAAACAAATATCATCAAATACCCACTATAATAATAAAATGGTATACCATATTAAAATCATGCAACTTTCAAAAAAATGAGAAGTTTTGTAAAAGTTGAAATGTTCTAAAGGTACTAAAGGTCTTGATACTAATTTACTTACGCAAAAATGCCATCCACTTAGCTTTATTTAATCTGTAGGGGTATGTAATGCTAAAAAAAAAATCAACCTTCATCAGCAACACCTTTTTTTCCTAGTAAATTTGCTCCGATTTTCACATGTATCAACTTTTCTGAAGGCTCTTTGATTTTTGACGCTATTTTTTAAAAATAAAAGCACTTAGTGAGAAAAAAACATAGGAAAACGTACAATTTCACGAATTCATTATTTTATAAAAACACGGACAACGTTATCTACCAGAAAAAATGATTAATTCGAAAAATTGCAAGATACCTTTTTTGTCGCCTTATTAATTTACTTTCTCGCGGTATCATTGTCAAAACTTTTGAGCCACTTTTGAGCTTTTAAGGAAATTTAATTTTTGGGAATTTTGTTTTGCTGTAATTCAGTTATAAATACACGCAGAGACTTTTAACTTGGTAATAACACTTATATTGGACTTACCCAGTCGTAGTAAATTTTTGAAATCACCGGACGACTTTTTTTTTTTTAATAAGCGTTTTGAAATTAAATTTTAACAAAAATCGCAAAAAAATTCGATTAAGTCTGCCGTTTTAACTTTTTTTACCTGATGCCAACATTTTTAAACGTTATTCACCACACCCATCGTATTTGAATAAATCGACTAAAACCAACTAAAACCCTTATTTCTTATGTATATTATGTTTTTCTAATGTTATGTATGTTATGCCGAATTAAAATTTAATTTTTTCATACAACTACTATTTAAAATAATTAATACATTTTTTTTTTTAGTACCATTGCACTATTAAAAAATATATCTGTCTTGTCTCGTCGCCCGTCCGTTCACTTAAATTTTGATGAAGCCGTGGCTCCTCAAAAATACTTTCAACACTGCTTACCAGAATATTAGCAATCTAATCAATTTAAAACCAATCGAAATACCATAGATAAAGAATAGATATAAAAGATGTAGGAATATCATAGATTCCTATATAATAAAAAACTTAACCATGTATATGTTGCACTCCAGAGGTGCATTTGTCGAATCCACAAAACGTTCGATTTTTCGACGATCCCGTAAATTGGCCGAGTGAATTCCCCAATTTATAAAATGAGCGAAAAAAACTATTAATTTCATTTATCGGGCAATACTATACTACGGTAATACACAATAGTACTTGCGATATTTATAATCGTTTAAACGATATTTCCAATACATTATGGATTAATATTAAATTAATATTACTTAAATTACGCTAAAAAGTGTAAAAAAAAAAAAATAAAAAATCTTACTCCCAAGAATACCGGTCGCTATAAGTTTATAAAACGGACAGCGTCATTTGCGTCAATCGTCTGTCCGTTCTATGAACCAGGCGACCCCCTCGGCCCTTTCCCGGTGTAACGGGCGAAACCGACACCGGGCGAATGCGACTGCAGGTAGTCAGTTTAGCCCAACGTCGCATTCGCCCGGAGTCAGATTTGCCCGGCGCACCGGAACGGGTGGAAAATCGGGCAAATAATTCGCCTGTGGGGTGTAACATTGCGCGGGTAATCGATGCATTTCATTTGCGACCGTGCGAAACCGTCAGTGTTGACATCGAATATTATAACATTGTGTGTGACGATGCGATATAACGTAACATGTATTCGGACAGGTGTGTAAGCCGAAACCGTCGTTGGCTCCGTCGTCGAAAAACACGAGTTTCGAGTCGAGCGCGCACTACGAGGACATAAACGTCACTTCCAAGGAGTACGCCGTGAACGGTTGCGGCGTCAGCGCCGGGGAATGCTGTTCGGACGGCGGCGGCGGGGTCCGCAGGATAAAGTACCCGAAAGTGTTGCCGGACTTTCCGGTGCAAGGTGCCGCGGGCCCGGACTGCAACAGGCGACTGTCGTTGCCGCCGCCACTGGTGGTCATACCGGAGGGCGGCGCGGTGAAGGTGCCGCCGCCGCCGCCGCCCAGAATATCGTCCACGCTGGGCCGGAAAAAAGACGGCGCGAAGACCGAGGCCACGATTACCGTGCGGCCGTTCAACAGGCAGACGCAGCCGGACACCATACCCGAGGAACACAAATCGCCCGTGGTGCCGTGCGTGCCCAACAAGGTGTGCCCGGCGGTGGACGCGGCGGCGTCCGAGGTTCTGCCGGCCAAAAAGCCCGCCGGGCCGAGAATCGTCATCAAGGCCAGCTCGGTACAACAGCACCATCCTAATCAACAGCATCCCAATCAGCAACATGCCAGTCAGCAGCATCCCAATCAACAGCATCCTAATCAGCAGCAGCAGCAGCAGCAGCAGAAGCAACCCAAGAGGACGAACATACCGCGTGTCGTGCATCCGCAGAACAGCGACAGGAACAAGCACGCGACGGCGGTCGGGGCCGAGGGCGGCGACACGGACACGGTCAAGCGGAAAAAAAAATGACCTCTGGTCGTGCACTAGACGCGTGTTTTTCCTACGAAACTTTTGTACGTCCATAATAATATAATGTATACTATTTATCGTGGCGCCGCGTCAATTATCCGCGCACGTTTTTTTCGCGCGAATAACCGTAATAATATATTGTAAAAACAAATACTGCACATTTATCAATCGGCGGTCGTTCGCAAATCGAACGTTACGTTGAATATTACAACAAAGGTACAACACGATCGATTAACTTCAACTTTGTAGCCGCGGATTAAGTGTTTTTTTTCTTTTTTTTTTTCTTTCTTTTTCTCTACATCGAATTTAGGTATTCGGAACGTGATTACGTTCGTAATTGTTTCTTGACGACTCAATCGTTTTCCACATGAACACATCCACCGCATTTAAATCACGTCAAACCCAGCCCATGTTTTCCGATACTGTGACGCCTTTCGACTAGTTCGTAATTCCAACAAGAATATTAAACCGGTTTCGTATCGATATTGCGTACTCGGTGTCGGTGGATTGCGGCCCAGGTTTATTAGAGGGATGTAAGAATTGCGGCCCGAGTTCATGAGAGAGACTTACGAATTGCGGCCACATAACGATTACCACCTCATATCGGCTTATTAATGTTATCCAGGAAAGAGCTTCTATATTGCTAATACGTTTTCTTCGTTTTTATTCCATTACTCCTGAATTTTGTACAAGTCTCGAATTGAATTTCAAGTAACACATCAAGGATGTTATACGTGTTACTATGTTAGGATGGCTAATATAGAATGTCATAATGTTTAATATTGTTTATCGTCTGTTGTTGTATTTTAAATTAGATACCGATTTCGATATGGCACGATTTATGCATTTTTTTTTTTTATAACTAATAAAATATATAATACATTTAGGTATATCAACGATAAAGTTTCTAGATAAAAAGGGTTCCTTGGGCCACAACTAACTTACAGCCGAAAAGTTTCCCGGGCCGGAATTCACCGGTCTCGACGTCGAAAATAACACGTCGGGTTGCAACTCACCAACAGTCTGTGTACCTGTCTACCGGCCTCGTCAACCGTTAAGACAGAACGCGTGTCAAATAAAATAGATTCTATCCAGTGAGTGAAAACCCGTCCTCGCCATTTCGATGAGTAGTTAGGTAATAGATATTTTCGAGCGAAAAATTGTCCGCGGAAAATTGACGTGGATCCATTTATTGTATTGTGAATGTTTTGTGTGTGCGTTTTTGCGCGCGTGTATCTGCGATTTGTATGTATTTCGCACACGCTGTATAGTGATAAATGTATATTGTATGTAAATCTTTTTTTATTATAATTTGTTTTTTTTTTTTTTTTTAATATAAAATAGAATTTGTAACTCCGGGTATTCCGTCGGTATGTCTCGATCAGTAACCACGTACCTATAAACAATCGTTGGGAAATAGACAGCTCTAATTTGTTTTCATTATTATATAATAATTTTTTTTTAAGCGCAGTTTTAAATACGAAAAACTAAACTTCATAATAATTATTATTTACAGTTTTTCCCAGTTAGTTACACGTCCGATGTATAAGGGGTAACGTACTGTAAACAACATTTTTGAAGAAAAAAAAAAATGAAAATTATTGTTTATTATTATGTTCAAATTTACTTTAAATTAAACGTACGAGTATAATACAGTGCCGTGTCGTTATTAAAAGTTCCTATTTTTTCTGTTTGTTGCGTAATCGTGAATTAAACTAAAACATCTAAGGAAAAATCGTCTCGAGTGAGACACGTTCGATTATAACTCCTACTCAGAGCCGGACTGGAAGGGTTCGGCCAATTTACCTACATTTAACGGTCCAGCGTAAATTGAAAAAATATTACAATTTGAACAATAGTGTTTTTACCTTCATCCACATTTTATAACAAGTAGGATCTAGGAACTTTTTCTATGTTGATGACAAAGAAAATGTAAAATATATCAATACATAGGTATAAATCAGTAACAATTAGTAGATGTATAATACATTAAATCGTATTATTATATATTTATGTGTACGATAATAAACTAGATGAAGTATTAGATGAATTTTTAAAAATGTCCAAATATCTTCAAACTTATTGTTTATATTAATTATTCAATATTTCTTTTTCCACAGACATCAATAAGAAAGCATCTAATAGAGTCTTATAGTATACTTACATCAATTTAGAACGCATAGCGAAAAACTTAATATATTTCGTAGTGTTGTCTCGGTACCATTGACCAACGATTTTTAAAAGCAAACCGAAAGAAAACCAAAAGTTTACGAACAATGCTAGCAGAATGTATTCGTGTTGACGGAAAAAATAAGCACGACTGACGATCAGATTTTTGGTGTTCGCTATACAATTTACCTGCGGGAAGTTACACCTCTTACTTTGAACTTTCGACTCCGGACCAATGTCAATACGTTGTGTAACTTAATTTTAATTGTTTGTAACTTGGTTTCCATGATCTGTTATTCCAAACTTTTGCCACTAGCGTATACGAAAGTTTTAGCGATCGTCATCATTGTCATGCAAATATATATGCTATGGTGGTAAGATTTAACTATATTTAACTGTTATGAATATCGATTATTACAATCAATAAATCTTTAATAATGGCCAAATTTTGGAGTGGCAAATTCTGGAAACTGAGTTACAAACAGCTACAAACTATTAAATAATGCCATCGTCTCCGAGTCGAACAAACAATTTAGTCATAGGGGAGGTCACGTTAAGTTGGCCTCGCAACACTAAAACGTTCTTAGCGACTAAAAGATTGCGAATGATGAAAACTAAGTTACAAACGAGTAAAATTAAAATATAGCAGTTGAATGTTTGAAGGGGGAGGGGAGGAAAGGCGAACTTCACGTGCGTTTTAAATGTCGCCGAAAAAGTTTTATTGCACAAATCAGTTTTTACGATCGAATTTTGTTTAGTACGACGTTCTTTCAATAACAACGTCCAATTTAAAACTAATTATACACCTATATTTTATTTTTATATCTATGGCGTAATTCAAATTAATTATATCAAATTATCGAACTAATTGAACGGTTTAAGCGGTGCATTATTTATCGTAACAATTTAAAAACTGATATTGTGCAAGAAATGCATGAACAGTATGCTTCAATTATTTCGTATTTTTTTTTTTTTTTTTGATTTCAATCCATGACGGTGTAAAATATAATAAACCGTCGACAAAAATACATTTAAAATTTTAAGAGACCCACAAATAGTTCAAATAAGCCATTTATAGGCCATTTTATTCGTATTAAATCGTTTAATTATACTATGTTTCGATGAGAACGATAATAATTAAGTAATCTTACGTAAAGCCACCAAATTATAATTATTTTAACCATGGTTGAATATTTGGGAGGGGGCGTAGGGCAGAGGTACCGGCAGGGATGGATAGGTAGTATTTTTGGTACAGGGAAATATATTGAGAGGCCCCAAACTGAAAACAAATTTTTTGCCACTCGCATTACATATTCAATATAACAACTTTACATAGAAATACAATTTTTTTACATAATTTTTCACATATCAATCAACTATGGTTAATTATTTACAATTTTATTACAATATTTTAAATATTATAGTAATTTTTGTAATAATTTACTTTTAGAAGCTACTTGATCAATTATTTGGCCAGAGCCAATTCCGTTCAACAATTTTTTCTCAATAGACACGAACATAAAACTTTCCAAAAAAGTCATGTGATAAGGTGCTCCTTAAATATGATTTTATATATTTCAATTTTGAAAATCTACGTCCACAGCTTACTTGAATGACTGACAGAGTAAGTAGTAATATGTAGCAGTTGTAGTGACCAGGATAAGCGTTGGTGTATAAATTATACTTCACTAAGAAATTAAAAACACAAACGACACAATACTTATCACCAGCTGTGGTATGGGAACATTTTTCTTCATACATTATACGAATACAATTTGGCTTTTAGTTTTAAAAAATCAGCTCACTGGGTTATTTTAATTGTGTTATTATTTTGTAACGTCATTATTTAAATATAATTGTATACATTTATATATTTAATCAATAGTAATGTCACTCACAGCCCACAGGATAACCAAATTGTAAGAAATAACTTTTCTTGAAAAACAAAGGAAAGGGAGCGAATCTATCCCCAACATCACCCCATTTAATTATAAATATGGCACTGTCTGTAATATGTTTATAATTTTACACCAAAAGTTGTAGGTCTACCCCACTACTTGCTAACTACATTATTTATTATTAATTAAAAATTAGAATATTAACATAGGTGTTGAAGCGTAATTATTTAAAAACTGAACTCACCAAAAGGTTAGTACCAAGTTAGTGGTTGCTACTTGCTGTAGTTTATGGTTAGGTTTAGGTACACACTATACACTTAGATACCTCGTTTCGACTCTTAGATTTGTAATCACAAATAGGTAATAGTACAAAAAAATAAAAACTAAACAAATCATTAACATAAATACACGATCTTATATTCTTATTTGACTCAATAATGTTCCCAAACGTAAAAATCGTAAAAAACGTAAAAATTACAAGATACACTGCTTCCACATTCCACGCGCACAATGAAAACGGTCGACTATGGAATACGAATGGATAGGATCATGAATAACAAAAATACAATAATAAATACATGTGTTTAAAATAGATATTATGTACACGATCATTTTTGAAAAATTTGTATTTCGTATTGTCCATATCGGGATAGACCGTGCGATGTTTGCGGCCGGCGGTCGGTCAGATATTTCGGTCTTCCATTTAACAATAACAATTTTAGAATACTAATTTTAATTCATTAATATTTATTAGGTTTCATGTTAAAAATCCGCAAGAAAATTATTGACGTGTTATCATATTATTAAAAATAGCATTCTTGAATAATAATAATTTATAGTTTTAAATATTATTCCTATTTGGTGAATATTGTACGAAACAAAATGTGTGGACCCGAGGGGTTCTCCGGCATAAACATGGGGGCCCGCAGAGAAACTGCCTTTTTCCCTATGGGCCTATCCACCCCTGGGTACCGGGTCGATTCACTATATATTATTGTTTTGTTTTTTCTACCGAAGCCTCAGTAATTATTCATATCGAGGTTAAAAAATAACAGTATTCAAAACCGTGTATCATCAGCTCAGATAAATTATATTATTTTTGATTTTGTGTTTATCATTCGGTAATAAACTATATTATTATTGCTCTTTATTTTATATTGTATTTTTACGTAAGCATTGATCATTACTGGGCGATTCGTTTTCAAAGATGGTTTTAAATGAAAACTATTACAAATGCACAGTTTAAAAATCAATATGTTCTGTCTAAACGTACGTGGTATGGACGTAATATTTAGCGTTCTTTTTGTAGTTTTTTTTCGAATAGGCGTTTCCTATAAATTCGATATTATTAATATAATGATTTATTAGGATCAAACCATTTTCGTAAGAAAAATTTTCTCTTAATTGACAGATAACAAAACCAATAGTTGAACTATTAATTAATGATAAAAAAAAAAAAAAAATAATAATAAAAAAAAAAACCGATACTCTTGATGCTCTGCTGAAGTAACTACAAACAATTTGAAAAGCTGATAATTGGACGGGTGTGCCACTGTTATGAGTAAGAAGTTAAAAAAGGTAGGAAACATCAAGCTATTTAAATTATATCTGTAAGCAATTATAAACCGTTGCTAATGAAAAACGATTCGGAACGAAGCTCGGTTATAAATGTTTTAAAAACGGTGAATGGCACTTGTTCGAAAAATGATAAGAACCCTTTTCGGAAACCCAGCCCGGTCGCATATTAACATAATGCACACCGCACACACGAAATAAAATACTATCCAACGTGATTTACTTATATGCAATTCAATAACTGCATGTGCCCTACCTTCCCAATATTTCATATACAACAGTGACGTACCAGTTCCCAGTATCAGATCTATTTGTTTATTTTTTGTTTTGGTTATGTGTGGGTATAAATTATTGAACTTCGTATACCAGATGATCCATTTAAGTGGATACACTCATTATCTCGGAAAGTATTAACTTTTTCCGGACTTGGTTTTCTAGAACATTTAGGAAACAAACTGCTCTATAGTTTTATATTTATATTTTATTTTTTGTCACCATTATTTTTGGAGGTAACACAATTACCTACTTTTGATTTTTAAATAGCAACCTATATTAAACATTTCATAAATAAATAGAGCATTAGTTAAAATCAATTTTAGTGTTGACATTTTTGATTTCCGTCGATCCGTTGACAAAATATTCCACTTTTAAGTTTTGGTTGGAAGAGAGTAGTGGAGTATCATTTGTGTGACGGTACAGTGCGCAGCGTGTTAATAATGCATCACTACTACTCTTCTCCAATCTTAAACTAAAAGTGGAATATTTTGTGAATGGATCGACAGAAATAAAAAATTTCAACACTCAAATTTATTTTAACTAATACTTAATCTATTTATGGTATCTTCGATATAGTTTGCAATTTAAAAATCAAAAGTAGTTAGTGGTTTAACCCCCAAAAATAAGGGTGACAAAAAAATAACATAAATATAAATTGTAGAGCTCTTTGTTTTTAAAATATTCTAGAAAAAAAAATGCGAAAAAAGTTAATACTTTCCGAGATAATGAGTGTGCCCACTTAAATGGATCACTCAGTACACACTCGACAATTTGATAAGATATTTGTTTCTTTATAAATTGTTCTTATGGTGATATGAAAAATGTCGAATATCCGTAGTAGTTATTTTTATTTAATAAAAAGTTCAGACATGGTTGAAATTAAAATTTTGTCGATAATCGCAATTCGCCAAGATTTTGTCATTATTTGACGACGAGATGTTGAATACTTCCAATATAAGTAATATTACATTGGCGAATCACTATATCATTTATAACACGCGAGGTCGTAATCAGTGCTACGGACATTGTTAAGAATAAAATTAATTGCTGTATAACGACCACACATTATTATGTGAGATACCTACACTGACGAAATATATGTATTCAATTACAGAAATATCATTATTATAATTGTAAATATCATAAGAATTATATGCTAATTAAAACAAAACTTGTGTATAATTATAATAAATAGGAACGATAATGCCGAGCCATACCAAAATAAACTGTCAATCTGTAAATTATTTACGAATTTTTAAATGCACGTGATGGTAGTCTGACATTTGATAAATTTACATAATGTTCAATTTAAAAAAAAAAAAATTCGTCCAAGGATAATGGGGACGAGTGCAGCCACTGTTACAGATAATTGACGAAAAAACGATTCTAAGCGGAGTCCGGTTAACAGTGATGCTTTTTATTACTTGTATACAGTCATTTAATAGGAAAAACATTAAATATGCTTTTTTTTTTCTTTAATAATAATTGTTTAATGTTATATCGATTTTCCCAGTTTTCCTATGTTTTTCCGGTTTTTGACATTTTCTAGGAATACTTTAGAGAAAATAAAATAATGATCTCCTTGAAGTGCCTTCCTAGTCAAATTTCCTTTCAGAAAAATTGCTGTCATTATAAATAGGACCATATTACTTGTAGAAAAGTTGTACACAAAAAAAAATAAGGCCGTAATGTATTTTAACTTATAACAACATTTCCTTTATTTTCCCATTTTTTCAGTTTTTCAAATTTTGATGAGAAAACTCCTGAGAAAATCGAAAAATGACCTCTCTAAATTCCAAAGTACCTTCCTAGTCAATTTTATTTTTAGACACATTGATATCATAAGTTGAAACAACATTGCTAGTAGAAAAGTTGTGCACAGAAAAAAAGAAGCCCGTAATATATTTTAACTAATACCTACATTCTTATATTTTCACTCAACTTTGAATCTAATACTGTCATTGCTTATTTGTATTTTTTAGATTCTGAGCTGAGCGTGAGATTTATTGCTTTTACAATGATTTTTATTTTTTGTATAATATCTTTTTCTTGTGAACAAATTTTCTACCAGCAATTTTGCTCCGATTTTTAATTTCAGAATTTTTTCTGAAAGGATATCTGCCTGAGTTAGTACTTGAAAGAGGTTAGTTTTTGATTTTTTTTTAGTTTCCAGTTTTTTTCATAATAAATGGAAATACTGGAAACAAATTTTGGAAAACCGTGAAAAAACGTAGAAAAAACGGAAAAAAGATACAATTTTAAACAAATATTGTTAAATAAAATAATATATAATGCATATATTATCTAATATGCATAACATAATATGACAAATAATATATTGTTCACAAAGCAACGTTATTAACCGAACTCGGCTTAAAATAGTTTTTCGTAGTAATGGTTAATCGTTACTAACAGATATACAATAAATTTTCCCTCTACTTTCCCAACTTCTCATCATTAATAATGGCCCACTCATCGTGTGAAATGTATTTTTTTTTTACTGTTATAGTTATAGCGTCTGTACTAACTGAAAATATTTAACTTATAAGTTTTATTTATAATAATTAGGGAAGGTAGGATATTGAAAGAAATTTAATGTATATTTGTACGTAACAGAATTCAAGCATTTCCAATAAAAAATTATTCTGAGCGGAGCTCGGTTAATAATATTGCTCAAAAGCGTCTTCGGGTTAATTTCGTGGAGGAAGGGTGGCGAACAATTTTTACTCATGAATACCAGCGATTCGGTAAACAAAAAATGAAAACCTTTATATCTGATGTCATTTTAACTTATATTAGCTTAAATTATTGCAAATATATTGTACGAACGCAGTAAAACAATACTATTCAAAAGTTAAATTAATTTTTTTCCCATTAGATAAATATTAAAATAATGATAATATGAATAAAAAAAAAAATAATAATTATTAATAAAACTTAGATGATCAAGTTCACAAGATCAACAATATTTTCTATATTAATGTTTTCATTTCGATGAATATTTAAAAGTGATAAGCTTCTGCTCAAATTTTTTTTTCCACAAAGTACGACTTTTATTGAACTTCATGTTAAATTCTCAAATATGTCTGTTTGATCTAAAAATTTTATTCACAGAGTACCTACCGAATAAAAATTACATACATAGCTCGCAAAAATTCAAATGTCTATAAATTGCCCAACAATTTTACCACGTCAATAAAAGGCAAATATAAGTTTTCAATCCACATTTCAAGTCTCTAGAAATATTTATCAATGACTTACAACAAAAAAAAAAAAATTAAAATTAATAAAAGCATTATTTTCTTAAATTTTCCCGTTTTTCTTCAGTTTTACCCTGAGTTTTACTGATATTATGAAAACTGCTTCGAAAATCAAAACATGACCTTCCTAACACAAAACTTATAAAAGGAAATTCATCAAGAGGACCAAAAACTGGTGAACCCAAAGAGTTTTTCCATGGTCTATTAGATATTGTTAGATTCTGAGCGGAGCGAGAAATATATTGATTTTACAATGGTATTCATTTTATTTTTTTTATTATTAATTTTTTTTTTCTGTGAACAACTTTTTTTACCAGAAATTTCGCTCCGTTTTTTAAGTGTACCTAACACTTTTTCTCATTTAGGAGTTCACATAATAAATAGGAAAAAACGTAGGGAAACTAAATATTACGGCCTTTCAAGTTTCAAACAATGTCCAACCGAACTAATAGTAAATGTTTATCAATTAAACTCCGTTCAGAATCGTTTTTTCGTTAGCAATGGTAAATTGTTGCGTACAGGTATACATTAAATTTCCCGTCTACTACCTTCCCAACTTTTTACCTACACCAGTGGCTGAACCCATCCCCATTATCTTACCTTTCTATTTTTCATACCAGGCTGGGAAATGATTTTTAAAATATTGGCACCGGTCCGAAATCAATCGGACAATGTGAGGGACTGCGTAAAGTTGTCCCCCCCATCTTGTTTTGTTATACCAGACTGTTTAATGATTTACAAATTCTGAAAACCGATTTGCAAATATTTGCAAATTATTTACAAAATGTTGATAGCATTTTCAAAAAAATTGATCATGGTGAGGAGCCACGTGTGGAAATGCCAGGTCTCTTCTATTTTTTTTAATCGAATTACACCAAAAAACGGAATCAAAATAATGATACCGTGAGTGCTTGTAAACTTTCTCGTATTTTATGCGTTCTTCCCGGTTTCCCCGTTAATGAAGAAAACGACACAGAAAATTGAGAACTTATTTTCTTACTCATCAATTACACATAATTGTCTTTCAAAAATGATGATACCCTTGAAATATAGAGCAACATTTTTGGTAGAAAAGTTGTATAGGGAAAAAAAAATGTTGATTTTATGGATGGGTGTGCCTTTGGAATAAGTTAGATTGATAGGATATTTAAATTTATTAAATTTATTTCTGTAAGTAACGCTCATCGAATGCTGACGAAAAACAATTCTGAAGGAAGTTTGCTTATAAATGTTTTGAAATACCGTAGTTTTGATAAGTTTAGTCACACTATTTTATTCATGTAAAAAATCCTAATAAAATCTAATAGAAATTCAAGAATACCAAATTCCTACAAATATTCCAAAAACCGCTCACGTTTTTTAAACATTTTAGGACGGCTGTAAAAGTCAAATATAAGTATTCCGTGAATATTTCAAGTTTCTACAAATAATTTTAACCGAATCACAACAAAAAAATTTAACCGTGAGCTATACTTTCATCATGAACACACCAATAAAGGTAGCACAAAGATAGCACAAGGCACGACATTTTAGGGCATTCTAAACGCTCGGATTTCGCGTTTTAATGATGAAAATTAATTTTACGCATTACTGCGTGCTACACTATTGAGAAAATATACTAAAAAAAAAAAATATGGTTAACCGAATTCTAAATCGATTATTGATTTTATTTTGTATACATTTATATATAATACAGCGTAGACTTATAATTACACATTATAGAATTAAATAGATTAATTGATATTATCGAATATTATTACGACACATAGGTATTTTACATACTAGCATTTTATTATAATTATTTAACATAATTTATTATATTAATTATAGGTACGCAGTATATTGATTTCGGCAATTTATAGATAGCTAGTAATTATTTTGTACTGTGACAATGTGTTGACGTATTGAACCGATTAAATACCAA